AAAAAAATAAAATAAAACTGTTAAAAAATATAAAAAAATTTAATAAATAAAACGTGTGTGTGTGTTTAAATTCAAATAAATACTGTTAACGTGTGTGTATATTAATAGACTAAATAAAAAATTTTTATTAAGAAATAATAATTTAAAAGAAGGAAAAAAGTAGTATCAAATGTAAAAACAATTACTAAAATATCAAGAAATCAAAATAACAATAATTTGAACATTTGTACAATTTATTTATCAGTTTCCACAGGTTGTCCTCACTTCATGGCATAATGAGATATATTTTACAGCAATTATTTGACATTTGGGCATTTCTCCCAGTAAACAGGGGAGTTTCTGTGTCTGATATAAAGATGAATTCGGGGGATTATATGGAAAATGTTTGCAAAGTGTTTTTGTCTTGTATACAGTCTGCAACACGCATTTTACTGACGGCCGTGTTACAAATGCATCAGCGGAGGCAATGGTATCAGAAGTCTTTACATACAGTTCAACAGAGTAATAGACCACACCCCCCGCGGTAAAGTAAGTGCACCGTAAACCGTAGTGGGAGTTATCAATCACACAGTCGATGGTCCTGTCACGCACTGCACACGATAACAGCTGATGCGCGCACATTAGTTTCTATCATTGGTAAGTAATAGTTACTCCTGGCAGACAGTAAAGTGTAGTGATGTTAACGCAGCATATCGTTAGCGAACACTCCAGCCGGTCAGTATCAGATTACGTCCGACTATTAACCACACCCCCATTCTCTGTTTGAGAATGAACGTTAGCCAAAAAACGGCTTTAAGGACACTGTCTCGTCTTCGTCCTATTTTCGTCAGGGGAAGAAAAGGTCGTTGACAAATATATTTCGTTTAGTTCTGTCTGACGAAAGTAACACTAGTTGGCGTTTATTTTTTAATATAAGGCAGGGCAGCTCTAACCAACACCTCCAAGCTCGTCTCATTGACTGGCTGGCTCCTGAGCTTTTGGAGAAATCACTAGCCTGGGGGGTTCATGTCCTTTTTTTCTCCCTGCACTGTGAATGTTTACACGCTGCGTTTAATAAAAACATCCAATAGTTTGTGTGGTATTAGTTTAAGCAGAATGTGTTTGTCTTTTGTTGTGACTCGGATGAAGATCAGATCACATTTTATGACCAGTTTATGCAGAAATCCAAATGGTTCACATGCATTACTGTCATTTCCTCACTTTAAAGATGCCTCAAGTATAAACTGGCTCAGTTTAACCCACTCGCCCCTAGTCCACCACTGTATACAGCAGTTTGTGTACTTTTATGTACTAAAACACTGTCAGTGTGTGTAGGAGAAAGGGAAGCTGGTTGGGTGTGGGTACACTCTATGCATGGTGACTTCTTCCTGTTTGGGTGTGGCTTCACAACACTGCATCTGACTGTAAACACTGCTGAATGTGTGTGTCTCTCGAGGCGTGTTCCCATCAACACGCTCTGACACGCTCAGCTGCTCTCTGACTGTGCAGTAACACACACACACACACACACACACACACACAGTGAGTTCTGTAGTCTTGATGTTTGTTTACCTTCGGTGACCTCAGGAGTCTCTTTGACCTTTGACCTCCACTGTGAGCGTACAGTCCTTTTTAGCGAATAAGAGAGGGGGGAAAAAAACTGATGACATCATGAGCCACATGACCACTTTGACAGTAGTGCTCCTTCAGCTGTGAGTCTGACTCGGCGTTATTGTTGAAGTTTCGTTTTTATAAGACAGTTTTAATCTGACAGCCAAAAATAGCCAAAAAAAAAAGTGAATTCAACTTCCTGATGATCCAAAATATGACGAAATACTTGGCTCCTTGTAATTTTTGTTTCGAAACTGATCCCTCAAGACTCTCCTGACTTTGTACAGCGCTGTGGGGACGTTCTGGTAGGCAGTAGTTAGTATGATCCCTACACAGAGAAAGACCTTTTCTTTAAAAAGAGTAACATCCTTTTTTAAACCAGAAACAGTTGCTAGATCCCTCTTGTCGACACCACCAGACTCCATTGATAAAAATGTGGTTTTACTTTGCTGAACACAGGAGTTGCTGGTCTTGGTTGGTTAGTATCTAATTGTTGCTGTGTGACTTTGTTGTTTTTTGTTTGAATTGCGTTGTGTGACTTTTGTGTTTTAAAGGGTTAAACGCACCCACAAGTCACAAAATAACGCAAACTAACCGATGGAGGCAGCAGTAAGCCAGAGAGGTAAAATCACTGTTTTTATCAAGGGAGTCTGGCGGAGTTGACGAGAGCAACATAGTGACTAATTTCTGGTACCTCTTTTTTTAAAAAGGAAGGAGCGTTTCTTTAATTTAAGTCCTGCATTCATGACTACAACAGGTTGCAACTAGAGACACAAAGACAATTCATGAATAAATAAATATTCTATTTGATATTCTATGATATCATGCTTAAGAATACTTTCATTATCTTTACCGGAGTAGCTTTAATTATACTGGTGTATCAGTCTCTCAGGAGAAGCTTACACCGGTACATTGTAAGTTATAACACAAGGCTATTGTTTAAATGTAATACGATGTTGGTTTTTGTGTCATAGAGCTGGTTTCGGCTGCTGCAGGTGTACAAAACACCTTCTTAATATCAATCAGTGAGCTCAGCTGAGTTGAAGGGTGGAAATGTACTGAAAGCTGTGAGTTGGGTGGAGCCACTGACTGCTTATTGACTCTTAAATATATACAGGACACTGTAAAAATGCTATATTTAGTTGTGTTATATATATTTCTATTTCCTTTAATCTGAACTGGGAGTGCTGTGACGCAGCAGCAGCAGAAGTTGCCGCGGCGCTGCCTCCAGGTGAAAACAGTTTTTTGTCATTTGAAATAGAAACCACAGTAAAGTGTTTCTGCTCTGCAGGAAGCGGGAAGCAGCTGAGAGTGAAGCTGAAAACTCTGAAGAAAAAAACTGAGCAGTTGAGCCAAACTGTGACGAAGTTTGGAACTGGAAGTGGGCATTGCCTTCAGAATAAAAGCATAACTTTAATGACTAAATTATCAGAACAGGTAGCAGCAGTTAAGAAAATAGACATTTCAACTTATTATGACTGTGTGTACAGATTGGCAGTCAGTTGTTTCTGTAAAAGTACATTTTTTTTAATGTATTTGTTGGGTTTAGGTTTTGACTTTTGTACTTTAAATGCTTTTAATCATTTAACACGGAAACGTAAGGCTTTTCTTTTGATGTGAAGACATCAGTATGTTTATTTCATTTGATGTCTGTTAATAATTTGACTTTAACATTCACTTCACTGTTTTATGATACATTTAGACACCAACACTTCCATTTGATTGTCTCTGTTATTCTTATGCCTTTATTTTGAAGCTTTTCTGGCATTTTTTGAGTTACAGCTTTATCACCGATTTTCCATTTTAATCATTTAGTTATATGTTCACATTTTTGTGTTCTGAAACTCCGCTTTGTATTGCAGATTAATCTAGCGTGAATTCATTCTGGCAACTTTCTTCAGGACAAGTGAGGTATTTTCAACTAATAAGTGATTCTAAAGAAATTTATTTTCAGGGCACTGCAATAAATGTTTAGATGCCACACTTTTATTTTGAAGAAAACAAATATAATTTGAACCGTAGATTCATTAGCTGGACGTAATACTCTTAACTCAAGCCCACTCACTTATAAGCTTTTTCCAGAGCTTTGTTACCAGTGTTGGGCAGGAGCGTCGCTACAAGTAGTGCCGTTACTAGTTTAACTACATTTCTCAGTACTGTTCTCCAAATTGAATAACTTTTCAGTATCGAAGCTCTTTTATTGATCATGTAGTGCGGTAGCTTCCACACACGCTACATTTTCCAAAGCATTTCTGAAGCTCAAGCTTAAGTCTGAATTTCAACAGTTTTGGTTTGTTGTTATATTTTTGTATGACATTAACTTGGTAAACGTTAGTCAAATATTTAGTAGCTTAGATGTAGTAAACTACTTTTGCCAAGTTGCTGTAGCTTAGCTTTCTACATTTCACTGTGGGGTAGCTTCAGTGTAGGAGTGAAGCTTCATTTAATGCAGAGAAACTGGTATCTTAGCTCACTACCTTTTTGTAAGTAGTTTGCCCAACACTGTTTGTTATCAACAGCCAAATTGTCCTATTAATTAATCAAGGATGCAGAACACTCTCCCCCGTCTCCTCTGTTCCAAATGTCTAAACTACTTAGTGTTTTAATTTGAAATGATTGTTTTTGTTCTTTCATGAGAGAAACGCTAATTTTAATCCTCAGAATCAGAAGGAGCTTTATTGCCAAGTAGTGTTTTACACGTATGAGGAATTTGCTTTGGTGGTAAAGTGCTAAACGTAGACAAACATATAGCTGACATAAAAAAAATATATAAATATGGAATAAACAGATACAAGCTATAAAATTTATAATAGAACGACCGGTATGTGTAGAGATAGAACAACATGGCAGATATTTACATGTGCATTACTCCTGGTTTGTGTAGTGCAGACATATTACAAATTTGCACAACACAAACAGCAACGTTGTCCTTCCTCTGCAAATAGTTGTATTATTTTTCTCATTTTTATTATTCTTATATAACTTGCATTGTCTATACCATAGTTATACACTTCTACATTTATTTATGTCAACTGTATGTTTGTCTATGTGTAGCACCTTATCACCAAAGTGTGTGTAAAGCACTACTTGGCAATAAATAAAATGATTATGAAGGGTGAGTTGTGTTTATATTAATATCCATCCATCCATTGTCAACCAGGGTCAGGGGGGCTGGAGCCGGGGTTTGAACCCCTGACGTTGTTCCTGTTAACCACTGCACCACCAAGCCACTCATATTAATATTTAAATTGAAAATATATACACACACACACAAGAACAACAATAATAAACAACGAATTTACATGGTAGAGTCGATAATCAAGTTGACTTACTTTGAATTTAACATTTTTATTTTTAGGCTCGACCTATTGTGTGTGTTTCCTCTTCTGACTGGTTTTACGTTGAAAGGATTAACAGGAAGCGCTTACGTTCACCGCGTCTAGCTTGACGTCAGCGCGCAGCGGCAGCAGGAGGGAGCGGCTCTGATAGAGCGACATCCACAGAGAGTGGGAGAGAGAGAGAGAGAGCAGCGGAGCGGACGGGTGGATGACTGTGAGTACCGCTTCCTTTCTCTCCTGTCCTTTTCCCCCTCTTTTCTATTCTTTCCTCCATCATGTAGATGTAGCTTTACCCGGGACGGACCGGGGCAGATCGTGACAACGGGCGGACGGGGACAGACAGGCGGGGAGGGAGACAGGCCGGTGCCGTGCCGAGCTGGGCTGGGTTTGCGGAAGCGCCCGGCGGACAGACAGACGGACGGAGCGGCAGACAGACAGGAGCTCCGTTAGTAATAATAATACTGTTGATATTAGACACAGTCAGACAGCTGGGTGCCATCATGGCGGGTGTTTTTCTGCCCGTCTCACGTCCGTAAAGGTCTGTGTGTTCCAGCTTGCAGTTTGTCTCCGGTGCTTCCCCCCCCCCCCCCCCCCCCAAGGCAGCGGGGCCTCCTGCGAGAGCTAGCCGGGTAGGGAGCGTTCTGACGCGGCCACAGAGCTGCGGAACTCCCGCTGCTCTGCTGGAGGAAAAAAAAAAAAAGAAAGAAAGAGAGGAAGTAACTTGTTACAAAACTGCGGAGTTTGAGGACTTTGCAGGAACCTGTCTGCCTCTCTGCCTGCCTGTCTACCTGTCTGTCTGATTGTAGTGTATAGACAAGGCTTGGTTTTATTCCTCTGCTGTTGTACTGTCAGCAACAAACACACACACACTCACTATTGACAGGCCCCACCTAGTTCTGCTTGACTCAGGGATCTGTGTGTGTTTGTGTCCAGCTTGCTCCTCCACCAACTTTACTTTGGGAGATTAACATCATGCTGCATTCGTAGCCTATTATAAAAAGCAGAACTACACATTGAGTGTATATATATATATATATATATATATATATATATATATATATATATATATATATATATATATATATATATATATATGGAAATAAATGGGAAAAAATGGAGTTTAAGTTGTTGTGTGTCTGTGCTCGGGGCAAAATCATCATATTTTTGATATTGTGATGTGTGGCATTTCTTAGTTTTTGATATCTTAAAAAAACTTAGTGAACAGTTTTGATTGTTTTAAAGTTTAGAAGAATGACGTGAACACCAGAGTACCTGTTTGATTGTCGCTGTTACCTCTTTCTTTCTCTTCATTTTCTGTGTAAATTTCCTCTAAATGCATCAAAAGTCACCTGCAAAAGTGTTTCACTACCCTTTTTTACCTTGTGACTCCTTTTAAATTGCCAAGACGATTAACATTTCACGTGTTTTTTCAAGCAGAGATGCTTAAATGTGACAATTCGCTGCTTTTCTGTGTCTTTATGATTATAAACTGAATATTTTGGGGGTTTTTAAACTGTTATTCAGATATTTTGGAGTATTTTGCATCATTTTCTCCATCAGCAGCTAAATTAATAATTAAGATATTCATCTGTTGCAGCCTTAACAACGACCTTTTTAAAGATAAGAAGCCCTACTTGTGACCTTTCATCACCGGTTGCATGCGTTTACCAGTTGTGAAAGACAGTTTTTTTTTTTTTTTTTTGGCTTCCTGTTTTATCTTAATCATTTTTTTCCACTAAACAAGAAAAAAAGTGAAGATTAGAGGGAAAATATAATTTTATGCAACATTCATATGCATCAGTATTTCATTTACCTCGTCAAATATATTTTGATATGTGTCAAATGTCTTACCATGTGGCAGAAAGTTAGGCTATGTGGTTGTTACAGGTGTGGACAAAATAACAGGAACAACAAATTCTACCTTAAGTACAGCTTGTAATGATTTGATTTGATGCCTTTCTGGTACTATACAATAAATATGTTAAATAAATCTGTGGTTCCAGATTCTCAAATGTAAACATGTTCTGTTTTCCTTCTTCTTCTTTGATAGTAAACTTAATATTTTGGGGTTTTGAACTGTTGGATGAACAAAACCAGACACTTGAAGGACCCTTGAGAAAATGTGATGGATGCGTATTACTATTTTCTGGCTTTTGTAGACTAAATCATTTATAAATTAATTGAGATAATTGTGGTCTGATTAATTGATACAGCTGTTATTGTGGTTTATCATCCCTCATATGAAAAGTAGGAGAAGCCTTTTCTGGAGTAAATCGTGGAGAAATATAATCACAGTATTGTATTGCAAAATTGCAAATGACGATTGATTAATCTGAAGAGGATTTTTAATCACTTTTATTAATTGCTTACTCTGCAAAACATCAGAAAACAGTTAAAAATTGCCTTAGAGGACATCTTGACATCTTCAAATGTGCTAAAATAGCAATTTTTGTTCTCATATATGACAAACAAAGCCGCAAATCTTCACATTTGAGAGACTGGAACCAGAGAATCTTTGGCATAATTGCTTGAAAAATGAATGACACGGTTAATTGATCATTTAAAATTGTTAAGAGTAAAGAATTTATAGTTTTGAAGCTCTACATAATGAATCCTCTTTGCATCTTATTTTGCAAATGATCCCTGTGTTATTTGATGCTTTAGATGAGATGTTTAGTTTTACATATTTTGCTTTTACCTGTCTTTAGCTCAGACCTCTGACTGTTATTAAGACAGGTATTAAATCATGGGTCTGTTTTATTCCCATTAATGTGCAGCGAGTCTGTGAACTCAAGGTGAAAACTGACCTCATACACTGTACGTGATCTGATATCTGAGTGGAAAGAGAGTGTTTATTTAGTTAAGGTTAACCTGCGTTGGATTTATCTAGAACCAAATATTTTATCACCCTAACTCTGCAGCTCTACAAAGATTTTTAGGCTCTTTTAGCTCCTAGTTTTGCAGCACATCAAATTTTATCACCATAAAAACATTTCATATCATTCGATATTGAGAATTATCACGAAATGTATCAAATCATTATTTCTTTCAAGTTTAAAGGCTGAGTGAAAATTGAAGAAACCAGATTGTTAATTATTTGGTTAAACTTTTTTTTATGGTCAGAATGTGACAAACACTTGAATAATCAAAACTATTATGATAAAATCTTTTTTTTTCAACAAATATGATTAGTTTATCTTTTTCAGTCTCACTTTCCTCAACAAAATAAATATTTTAATTCGAAAAATTAAGCTAATTTGTTCGTGATTCAAATTGTTTAATTTATTGACAATGTATTGATCATTTATTATATTGTTATTGAGGAAAATTATATTGCGATAATTATCATTATTGTTTTATTGCCCAGACCTATGTAGCGCTACCGCCAACTAGCGTTTGGGGATGTAATAGCAAAATGACGGCTAGACAGACGCAAAAGTATAAAAGCAAGCTAGAAGAACCGACGCAGGAGTATAAATCAAGCTTAACAGTTAGCATTAGCTACATTAGCATATATCTACAAAACATTTACTCATTTGGCAGACGCTTTTATCCAAAGCGACTTACATTTGAGAAACAACATACAAGCATCAACAGAGCATCAAATACAGATCTACAGCTGACAAAACATACTAGTTAGCGCTAATGGCACATGTGGCATCAATGGGGTAAATACCTTGGGAAAGAAGTGAGAGTTAAAAAAGTGCAGTCGATTCAAGGTAATTGTAGGGGATAGAAGAAGAAGAGCACAGGAAGTGCGTGTTAGGAGTTAGAGGTGTTATAAGAGAAAGTGTTCTCGAAAGAGATGAGTTTTCAGGAGCTTCTTGAAGTCAGAGAGCGACGCCCCTGCTCTGATGGCGTGTGGTAGCTCGTTCCACCATCGTGGTGTCACAGATGAGAACAGCCGGTGTTCTGTCGATTTCTGCTACCTATCGAGATGTGTTACTTAGCTACTCTGTGCAACCTTGCTGTTGGGAATGCCGTCAAAAAAGTGGCTGATCGTCAGTAACATCAACAAAAAAAAATCATTCAGTCTATCAGAATACGCTACCCCTGAAATGATGTTATAATATAATCAAAAAACAGAAGATGTCATAATACTGTGAGAGTTATAACTTTATGGGATTTTTAAACAAGGCAGAGCGACTCGAAAGTCTCTGCAGTCGATTTGTGCTACAGGGATTGCTTTGTGTGAAGGGATGGCAGAGCCGGGTGACGTTCGTTGGTACAGCGTAGCGGCCGAGAAGGAACGTAAACGCTAGCTAGCTAGCTAAAGCTACATAAATAGTCACATGAAACACTAAATGCAAAAACCACCAAATTAACGCTAATAACAAAAATTTACATAAACAGATGATCCCATTTTGCAAATGGGAACCGAACACCGGTCTCTTTGGTGACGGTCGCCTAATTATCTGATCATCCACCCTACCCACCTCCTCCAAAATAGTGAGTTATTTATATCGCACGCCTGGTGTTTTTCCTGAAATTCCACCTGCACTTTGTCACATGGCCGCAAGAAGTCATTTTAAGCCCTTCAACTCTTGACCTATTTTGCTGTTTTCTGGGTGAGGACGGGCTGGATAACCACGCCTGTACGCAGCAGACAGACACAGTTAGAGACGAGCATTTAGCAGCTAAAGAGCCGGATATTTACCTCACAAACGTGACTCAAAATGAATCACCATGTTGCTTCATACCTGCTGGATGTGGAAATTTGAGCTTAAGCTTTAGCTGGAACAGCTTTAAAAGGCGATAATAGATGAGATGTTGCGTATTGTAAGGGCGGCGGACCTGCTGCCCACAAGCGGCCAAACAAATCAACTAATGCGGACGCAAATGTCATAAGTTTACTCGTGGTTTTTACTTGTTTAGCTGAGGTTACGTGTGCCATGAACTCCAGATCCAGGGACACTCAGGTCCAGGTGTAGGAGGAGTCATAGGAGAGGCCAGAGAGGGAAGTTCAGGCCTCGTGGATCAGACGGAAACATTTTAAGAGTTTGATGTTAGACTTTCAGCTCATCTCACAGATTCGCTTTCCCTACTTTCACGGCTTTCACTGCTGCTGCCTCAGTTTGTGACTTCCTGCAATTCCCTGAACTTGCCCGGACGTGTTGCATCAAACTGTGGAGCGATGTAGTGAGGCGGGCACTGTTCACACCTCCAGGCGCTGAAATCCACCTCTGGTGATGCGTTCGCTCACAATTGGACAGCTTAAACTTCGCCTCTTTGTTTCCAGCTCGTCGCTTCAGGCATCCTCAGCATCATGTCAAACAGAGTTATTACTTTATGAACTCAGATGTGCACAAATGGTTCACGATTCAGAAACTGAATGTTTGTGTGAAATTTTAACAGATAATAATTTGATTTCTTTCCTCCTTCTTTATGCTTTTCTGTTTCTCACCGTTTAACGCCACACATACTGAATATTAAGTTGTATTTTGCAGTAATAGCGAAGTACTCAGATCTTGTACTTAAGTAAAAGTAAGAATACCTCAATGTGAAACTACTGCCTCAGTACAATTCCTGCGTTCAAAAAAGCACTCATGTGAAACTACATATCAGCACGTATAAAGATGGCGCCTCTGTAAATTATACATTATCGTATTGTATATAATATATTTGATTGTTAGTGCTAATTTAAGTCTTTAATCAAATATATTCATCATATTTCTAGAATGTTCAGGGTGGTTGTCAAGTTAAAACGTGTTGCAAACAAAAATGACGCAGCTGTCAATACCTGGAATTTAAAATCAGAATCTAAAATCTAAAGATCAATAAAAACATAGTGAACTGAGCTGTAAAACAAGTGGCCGATACTGCCAAAAATGTTATCAGGATAAATGTCAAATCATTATTTTCTTAAAGTCTAAAGGCTCTTTTTTTTTTAGTAAAAGTTGGGGGAAAAAAAACTGTAGCTTTATACAAATCTGAGGCAGAACATTAAAACTATGATGATAAAATCTGTTTTCAGTCCCTTTACCTCAACAAAATAAATATCATAAAAGAAAAATAAGGAACTGATAGGATTCAAATGAATTAAATCAAACATTTATTGAACATATTTTTTAGATTATTAAATAACACTGGGAAATAAAATAAAGTATATATATATAAATAAAAATACAGCACCTATTTATACACACGACTCTGTGCTGTATTGTACTGACATAAATATATAAATAATATTGCACATTTGCTGTTCAGCAGGGTAAGAAGTTGTTTTTGCAGTCGCGATAATTATTATTATTGCTTATTGCTTATTGCTTGTGGACACTTAACATCACATGTTGGCCCGTGTTGTCACATGTTAAATATCGTACATCACAAATGAGAACATTAATGTGTTTTTTTTATTTAATTTTTGTCTTTTTTTAAAGACAAAAACATGTAATAACTGATGGTTAATGGAAAACCTGAACCACAATCACAGAAAACACATCCGATCGCACACACACACACACACAAACGCACACACGCACACACGCACACACGCACACACACACACTCCTGATGTCAGTTCATCGTTCAACCCTGTGATGTTTTGTTGCTGCCGGCGTTATAATTGGACAGAAACTGGGCATTCTGGGTAAAATAACACACTGGAAAAAGGGTGGTTAGAACGAGATGTTAATGTTTGGTCCTGACGCCGCCTGCTTAACGCCACACGCAGAAAAACATTTATGTCACCGCCATGGTAACCTTAGCAGTGTCTTATTAACAGACATGAGAAGCTCTGTGTGTGTGCTTGTGTGTGTGCGTGTGTGTGCGTGTGCGTGCTTGTGTGTGCTTGTGTGTGTGTGTGTGTGTGTGTGTGTGTGCGCGTGTGTGCGTGTGTGTGTGTGTGCGTGCTTGTGCGCTTGTGTGTGTGTGTGTGTGCGTGTGTGTGCTTGTGTGTGTGTGTGTGTGTGCGCGTGTGTGCTTGTGTGTGTGTGTGCGTGCTTGTGCGCTTGTGTGTGTGTGTGTGTGCGTGTGTGTGTGTTGTCGTCTCCGTCATGTTGCTTCTTGACTGGTATGCACGCACACACACACACACACACACACATACACACGGGGGTGCATTGCAACAGTAACCAGGAAGGATTCCACAGTTGTGACATCACCACCAGCTGTGCGATCACGTGACCTCTCTGTTTTCATGAACGCACCCAGATGCACGCTGGGTAATTATTACCTCCCGGTGAGAAGGAGGAGCCCTTCATCTGTGTGTGTGTGTAACTGATAGTTTTACAGCTCCAGGTGCGTTGTGGCAGGAGGCGGAGCTTACAGTGATGCTGCTCTGTGATTGGCTGCTGTGTTATGATGCACAGGAGTGAAGTTAGCAGCATGGTAACTTCTCTCTCTCTCTCTCTCTCCTCTCTCTGTGTGTCTCTCGCCCAGCAGACAGACAGTCAGGATGCGTGAATACAAACTGGTTGTTTTAGGATCAGGAGGAGTCGGCAAGTCAGCTCTGGTAAGTTTCCACTCAGGTGTTTGCATTAAAAGGAGAAGTCCGGACCCAAACCGACAGAGAAGATACTAACAAGTACTTTGTGTGTATCACAGCCTGAATATTTCTTACTCTGTGCCATAGAGCTCTATTGTCATCACCACGAAAACACACACTGTAGTTCATTTAGACTCCGTCCTGCTTCCTTCCCTTCTGCCCCACGGGACCTTATTTCAGAAAAACTATGTATGGTGGACAACGAGGGGTGGGGGAACAAATCGATACCGCATAGTATCGCAGTATTTTCCATGGCAATACACGGAAGCGCATGAGAATTAAACTTTTTTGGTGCTAGAATAATAAAAATCTTTTGCTTTTTCAGTCCACCAGAGAATTCAACAGCACCATGTAGTGGACTGAAAAAGCGAGATGAACAAACTGAGAAATATTCAGTTTTAGATAAAACGGACAACGTTTTTTCTTTTAGGGTCTTAATCTGAAGTTGGAGTTTTGTGTTAAATGTTTTAATGAGTTAGAAAAGACTAAAATGATGGTTAATGACGATAACTAGATTAAAATACACTGGATTTTCTTCTGACTAAAATCAGATTTAAAAAAATAGTATACAGTGGACTAAATATGACAAAAACTAACACGGACATTTGACACAGGACTAAGACTAAATTAACACAACACTACTTATATATAAAGGTGCACCAATGACGGAGCCTACGGGTGGCCATTCCTACCTGAGAGTTTAACTCGCAAGTGGTCAGTCAGAGCTTTGCTAAGCCACGCCCAAAATAAGCAGCTGGCCAATCACAGCGCAGTATAGGACTCTCTCTAACTGAGGTTCGACACTTTCACGGCTGCGCTCCATTGACTCTAATGCTGTATTTTTACAAGATCTGGTCAAACGCTCTTCCTGGGGCATCTTGTAATAGTTACAGTCGCTACCCAGAAAGGTTGAAAGGAGAAGTTCGATTTATTCTCTTTCCAAAACCTAAAATAAATCCAGAAAAACGTCGGCTGTGGGTCGTAATGTGAGCTGAGATGTTATCTACCATACTACTAAATATAAAGTTATAAAGCCCTGCTGTTCTGCTTTTAATGATTGCAATAGTGAATAGAGGCCTACCAGCTCGTCTTCTTTCTCAGTAGTCAATAATACTGTAATAGGTGGTTCACTTTTACTCTGTGATCAGTTTGAGTCAGTCTGACAGCCTGAACACAACCTTCAAACGCACAATGCAACTTCAAAACTGTCTTTCTGCTTTCTGAGATCGCTTTTTCCAAAAACTAGACAATATTTCTCCGTGGAGCGCAGTAACGGACAGTTTGTCGGGCTTAGCAGTCCTCAAGGAAGCATGGTTAAGCTGTGTCCAACCAGATGAAGACTTCTGAGCATTTGTTGCAAACATTTTAAAAATTTCGCTCAAAATTCCCCCTTTAAATATGGATGCCGACTGACGTCACTCTGTATTTGGGTGAATCGTCGTCAGTCCTTCCATTTCACAGTGACACACACACACACACTGGTGTAATTCTCACCACAATGAAGTGCTTTACTCCAGATGATATAATGGAGATGTGTCAGTGTGTCACATTATTTCCATTCTAATGACTTCCAATAGAGAACAGAACAGAGCTCCATTAACACCACTGGCCTACTTCCCTTTATCTCACTGCCCGTCTCTCTCTCTCTCTCTGTCTGTCTGTCAGACTGTCCAGTTTGTTCAGGGGATCTTTGTGGAGAAGTACGACCCGACGATAGAGGATTCCTACAGGAAGGTAAGACAGCTTCAGCCCGTCTGTCTCTCCTCGCCGTAGCATGTTAGTCTGTGTGAGTGATGGACGGTCGTAACTAGCTCCCAGGGGGAGATGGGACGGAGCTCAGACAGACTGAGGGTTGTCTGAATGCTAATTTTAGCCGCTAACGATGCTACTACATAACACGAAGGAAAAGGCGGAGGTGAGGATGAAGGAGGAGAAACAGAAGACCAAGGAGAGACGGGAAGTAAAGGAAAATTATCAGAGGACGAGAGAGGAGGAGGAGGAGGAGGAGAATGAAGTAGAAAATGAGTAAATGTTGAAGAAGGAGAATGTGGAAGCCGATTTCTGCCAAGAAAGGAAAAGAAAAATAAATGAGTAAAGTTAGTCCTGATTAAAATAAAAAAACTTAACGAGAGGAAAGAGATAAAATTATGAGATTAAAAACAATCTATGATGAGAGATAAAATGTCAGTTATGATATGAGTCAAAATCAGAAAATAAAGTCACAATTTAAAGATAAAATGTAAAAGTTTTGAGATAATAAATCAAAACTGAAACAAATGTCAAAACTATGAAATAAAATGACAAAATTATAAGAAAAATTATGGAAGGGTGAGTGACATTTTTGACTTGTTTGTAATTTTAAGGCTTTATCATAATTTTCACTTACTACCTCATTATTTTAACGTAATAAATCTAAAATTAGTCGATTTAGCTGACGATTAACTTTTCATCAATAGTTTTTCTTTTCCCGGCGAAACACAGAATTTGGGGAAGCTAAAAAATAAAAAGGCAGATGGAAAATTATCGCCTAAATTACCAGAACAAACACTCCCTTCACTTTCAGTCACTTGGCACCACCCGGCTCGTCACTTTTACCAGCACACACCACTTCCCTGTTTGATATAAACATAACTAGAGAAGAGAAACATGGCCGCGTGCTCTTGTGTCACTAACGCCACCCATCTGAGACACACAGCAGATAGAAATAAAATGTGGTTTCAAAACATACACCCTTTCATATCACAACCACGCCACCTCTAATCCAACTATTTTAAACTCTGTAAACATGAAACCTGGAAACATAATGAAGCTTCCATGCAAAGCACCTGACGAGAACAGGAAGAGGAAAATATAAACAAACGCATTAAATGTGCATTTGCATTTGTTTCCACGAGTCTCAATTTAGTGTGATTTTGTTGTAGAAACAGCAGCTGGGAAATTCCTTTTTTATGTTTTGTATTTTTGTGGTGTGAAATCAGCAGGTTTGTGATGAGTCTGAGGCTTAATTTCCCGAACAAAATTCATTCTACATAAAGACATGGATGCACGGGGGGCTTTCCCGCTAAACACTATACTTCTACTAACTGCATTTCATTAGCTCTGCACCAGTGCCCTGAATAATGTCCGTAAAGTTGAATCGGAGACGTTTTAAGAGGAAATATGCCACAGAATCAGAATTAGAAATACTTTATTGATCCCCGAGGGGAAATTCTTTTGTCACAATTGCACTTGTCAAAGGTAGATAGATAAAGAGTATATAAATATAAGAGTATAAATATGAAAAATGAAGACAAATATAAAGGTGTGTGGGTATGTGCAATATTTACATTAGTAAGAGTTATTATAGTGAACCAAAAAGCACAGGTGAATAAATAGCAGCAGAGAATATTGCACATTAATTATTAAACAGGTAATATTGGACAGAAAATAGATAGGAGGTCTAGTTTAATAACTGAGGGCGGAGTTATAAAGTTTGATGGCCACAGGCAGGAATGACTTCCTGTGGCGCTCTGTGGTGCATTTTGGGAGAATGAGTCTTGCACTGAAAGAGCTCCTGTGTTTGAGCAGCACGTCATGGAGCGGGTGGGAGACACTGTCCAAGATGACATGTAGTTTGGACAGCATCCTCCTCTCTGACACCACTGACAGAGAGTCCAGCTGCACCCCCACAACATCACGGGCCTGGCGGATCAGTTTGTTGAGTCTGTCAGCGTCCGCTGCCCTCAGCCTGCTGCCCCAGCATGCAACAGCAAACAGATTCAAAACATCCTCAGCATCGTCCTGCAGATGCTGAAGGACCTCAGCCTCCTCAGGAAATAGAGACGGCTTTGGCCCTTCCTGTAGAGGGCCCGAGTGTTCTTGGCCCAGTCCAGTTTATTGTCCATGTGCACTCTCAGGTATTTGTAATCCTCCACAATGTCCACAGGGACCCCCTGGATGGAAACAGGGATCACTGTGCCTTGGCTCTCCTTAGATCCACAACCTTAGTCTCACATCATGTGACAAAGTCCCTCCCACAGCTCTGTGCTCAGCCTCGTCACCCTGCTGATACATGGACAGGACTCTGTGTGGTAGTTGAAGTCTGAGGTGTAGATGGTGAAGAGGAAGGAAGAGGGGACCGTCCCCTGTGGGGCCCCGGTGTTGCTGACTACCCGTCTGACACACAGTGTTGCAGGCGCACATACTGTGGTCTGCCAGTCAGGTAGTCGACAATCCGGGACACCTGCATGGATGGTGTTGAAAGCACTGGAGAAGTCAAAAAACACGACCCTCACATGGCTCGCCGGCTTGTCCAGGTGGGCGTAGGTGCGGTTGAGCAGGAAGACGATGGCGTCCTCAACTCCCAGTTGGGGCTGATAGGCGAACTGTAGTGGGTCCACAGCACAGGGACCCTACGGAGACTCAGGCTCAGGTTGAAGACACGGTGAAGGACTCAACATAGCTGGGGGGAACAGGGCAAAATCATCAAACTTGTTCTGCACTTTTTATGTCGCGGTGACCAGTGAAAGTGCAGTTATGGCTCCCTTCCCATACCTTTATATAGGGACCTGGTCTAGTGAGTCCAGAACAACAGCCTGGAGGCGTTTCTAAGATGGCTGCAGAGTGGCGGGACTCGCTCATAAGGACTTTGGTTGAATCTATTCTAATTCACATTTTTATTAATTTAGCTGATACTTTTATCCAAAGCGACTTACAGTTGCCATTTATGTCAGAGGTCGCACGCCTCTGGAGCAACTAGGGGTTAAGGGTCTTGCTCAGGGTCACAATAGTGGATGAGTTGAACCCGGGTCTCTCACGCCAAAGGCAGGCATGTTACCCACTGCAGGAAGCTTAAGGTCAGAGAACTGATGCGAATGCGGAAGTCCCTTAAACCTGAATACCACTGCACGGCAGGAGGCGACAAAGAAGTCTGGCTCCTTTAGAAATAATGATAAAATGTTTCTAGTTCTCAGCTGATTTATTCCCTCTGTAAACACTTTCCTGACGAGTTTCTGGTCTCAGTCGCTAGTTTCAAGTCTTCTTCAACACAGCATGATGTTCATTTAGTAAATTATGGTCCCATTTAGAGGAACAGAGACCAGGAAGCAGGGGAGGCTTTAGGGCGGGATTATCTGTGATTGACAAGTCGTTACCATGGCGACCTGTCAATCAGGCTAGAGTTACTTCTACCCACGGCTCTGTGTAAATTTAACCAGCGCCGTTGAAAAAGCTTATTAGCAGTAGGCTGTTCACTTTCTCTGGTGAGCACATTTAGTTTTCAGCCCTGTTAAAATGAATTACAGATGCACTTAGCTCAGCAAGCTAGCTAGCTCCACACACGGCCGTTACGTCCACTTCATATATACAGTCTATGGTCGTATCCACAGTCACCACCCCAATTTAGTATCATAATGACATTTGGGACAATTACAAAACCTTCCAACACATTTGAATATTTTTTAACACAGCTGAATTCTAACATCTTGACGCTTACATTGCTAACATGTATACATCTTAGGTCACTGTGTTGGCATGCCAGCTAATTAGCACTAAGCTCAAAGTACAGATGAGGCTGATGGGAATGTCACTTGTGCAGGTATTTGGCCATAAACCAAGCTGGTGTGGTGCTAGATGACAAACCAGAGGATCCACCAGTGTTATTAAAGTTTACCCTAACAATCCAAAAATTAGTTTTTGACATATTTTAATCTAAGTGGCAGACCAACCGATGGACATTAACATCACTAGAGATGTGTGGTTAGCGTGGCTAAAACAATCCGGAGCCCCTGTAGACACTTTTACACATTTTAAATCATAACTCTGTTGCCTAAGTTTAACATTTAGGTGACTTTTATTGTGAAATCTTTGTTATTAGTAATGTTTTGTTGAAGCACTGAGGACTCACTCTCTCTTCCTCTCTTGTCTCTCTTTCCAGCAAGTCGAGGTTGATGGACAGCAGTGCATGTTGGAGATCCTGGATACAGCAGGAACAGTAAGACCTGTTTCTTATCCTTGAACTGTTTGCGTCTTTCTTTCTGACCATCTGCTTAGATATTCCTTTACTGAACTTGCAGACAAAGACCAAAGGGACACTAAAGTATACAGGGGTGTCCATATAATGGATTTGTACGTCCCTGACCACCTGTGTTGTGACCCGTCTGTCTGTAGGAGCAGTTCACTGCGATGAGAGACCTGTACATGAAGAACGGCCAGGGTTTCGCTCTGGTTTACTCCATCACGGCTCAGTCGACCTTCAACGACCTCCAGGACCTCCGAGAGCAGATCCTCAGAGTGAAGGACACCGAGGACGTACGTCACACACAAAAACGCACACCTTAGAAACACCTGCCAAAGTCATGACATCACTTCCTGTCTAGCCTCTGTTTCACTAGGTTCTCCAGAGTCTCTCATTCATCTGTTTTCCTGAAAAAATTAAGAGTGGTCCTGGAATTAATTTTAGGATATTAGAAACTGAAACCTTTATAGTTTTAACAAAGGCAAAGAACAGTTACTTTGTGAGCACAGAAAAACAATTTCACCTGGAGGCTTCTACGGCGTTCGCTCCTCTCTGTCCTGCAGACATGCCTGAACTCATCGCGACTCCTCGATTGGCTCATGCGTCTCTTCTGTTGAGCCGTGGCATTTAACATCTAGGGCTTATGGGAAATGGTGTTTATGTTCGAGCCTCACGACATACTGCTGACTAAAGCTGGATGTTTAGTTTTTAGTAACATTGCAATCGTCAGTGGGATTTTGAATGAGGTTTCTGACTTCTGGAACAGAACGTGGAAGTTCAGGTTTCACTTTGTTTCTCGATCTGTTATATAAATAACCAGGGCGTGAATTTCAAGAAGGCCGTGGCGCCTACACTGCCCCAGCTGATGTCGCAGTTTTCTCATCTGCCTCTTTCCTGTCGATACGGTTTTTACACTTTGAATATGCACGAGCCCACATCCTCCTCCTCAAGACACTCGCGTTAGTCACAGGTCTGCAGCTGAAGCTGTAAGACAGAAGACCAAAGGTGAAAAGATAAGAAAGGTTAGAGTTTGGTGAACTATTTAGCAACATGTTCATAAAGTCGACGAGAGCTTCTGTGGACGAGGGATCCTGAATATGGACGGCTGTCTCTTCCTCTTCATCTCCCTGCAGTTTTCATGAATTAATTCCCTTGTTTAACTGTGTAGCTGCTGCTTTGACCTACAGTATGTTGGTGTTCATTTTCACTGTCATTGTTTTATTTGATGGCATTTATGTTGAAATTCCAAGGCCGCTCTCTGGCCTCACTGTTGCTTTTCTTACCCACAGTTTAAACCTGGTGCTTTGTTTGTTTGGCTACACTGTCCAGTCACTAGAAGTCAATCCACACCTGCCAATCAATCAGAATTGAGAGTCTTTTAGTTGTCATGATATGGATCAAAGTAATCAATGCATAGATATTTTAAATTGATTTCCCCTTTGGTGAACGTGTGCTTTACAGCGAGAATTAAAAAAAACAAAACACCAAAACACAGTTTAAAAGGAAATAATAGAAACAGAAAGTGGAACATAAAAAAAACTACCGTCCTTATCTAAAAACATGAAGTGAGCCTCACGGCAGACAGCTGAGAAAGGCCCTGTTCCCAGGCTGGGTGTTTAGTTTATAAATGGTATTGGGATTTTGAATATTGGGTTTCCTTACTTTAACTTTTTATAACGCAATACAACAGCACTCTCAGACTCCTCCAGAATAACCAAACAGGCCACTAAAACAAACTGAACATTATAGTCTTCATGATGGAGGATCTCTGTGTTAGACTGCAGTAATTTTAGCTAGGTGTACCTAATAAACTGGTAAATGAGTGAATCACCACTCAGAGTTTTACCTTTTCGCTGCTCCTTGTTGGATAAGATTTTATAACCTCAGGCGAGCTGCAGGATGAGACAGCTAGGAGTGATTAATCAAAAAAAGTGACACCCAGAGGCGCCTGAATCTGGGGCAGCACTTCACATTCAGCGTATATGTTGTACATTTAGGGCCAGATTTACTAAAGGTTTGCGCGAGTAAAAACGTGTGCAAACTTGATTTCACCAGCAAATTAACACTGATCTACTAACGGCGTGCACGCAGAGTGACGTCTTTAAAAAGCGCAACATAGCACCTGTTGGTCATTTACTACTTTTGCCTTAATGAAGATGCAATTTGGGGCGTAACATGCAAATACATTTATTTACTACACGCAATGTGATCTACCAAGCCTAAACGCTATTTCATGTGAGTGCAGCAGCCTCTGGATTTAATACGTTAGAGAGGAAGGTGCAAACCGCCAAGTGATGCGCAGAGATGGCTGCTGTTATCGTTGCCAGAAGGAGACACAGCCGTGATGAAAGAAGACGTTGAGAAATTAACAATATTAGATGATAATATTCTATATCTAATATATAGAAATACTATTATTTTATTTTATTTATTCGATGAAATATATGAATATTGCAGTACAGCATGGATCAGGCGTGAAATTCATCCAGCCAGAGGGAACGATCACCAACTGTTCACAACAGCGACACAACCCTTTGTAGGTCTTGGAGAGGGAACGGGGCGTCGGGGCGGACAGGGACAGGAGATCGCGGAGCGACCGGGCACACTGAGGACGGTCTGTGGTCGTTCCCTCTGGCTGGATGAAGCACGATCTGCTGGCATTTCCTGGCGTCTGGGTCATTGCAGCATACTGCATCTGTTTCTGCTGAGGTTTCCCAAAGCAGTTTTTCAGGTGTGCTGTCTCAAGTACTTAGTGCAGGATGTGCAGGTACAGACGATTTCCACACTCGGGACATACTGAACGAAACAAACCAAGGTTTTTACACGGTGGCTGCTTTCCCTCCCGACTCTCCATGGCGGAAACCGTTAAAACAAGCAAAAACCCCCATTGTGTTTGCACCTGTTGTCCTCTACGCAATAATTCTTCGTAACAGGTACTAAAATTGCACGTGCAATATTTTAGAATGCACACACAGTTTAGTCCTCTTTATTCGGGATGTTAGTAAATCGGACCTTATGTGCTGTGCATTCTTTTAAAATGCTGCACTGCTGTATTTTCTAACCTCAGAAAACTAATAAAAGCTCTAAAACAAATGATGTAAAGCTAAAAATCTGACAGTTATTTTCATTATTGCTCAGTTGTTTTAATTTAAAAATCTGTAGATATCTAATTTTTGATGGTGTAACATACAGAAAAGCAGCAAATCCTCACATTTGACAAGCTTGGACCAGAGAATGTTTGGCACTTTTGCTTGATAAACGATTAAAGCTGGGGTAGATAATGCATTTGTAGAAGCATTTTGTGTTTTAAATTCTCTTTACATCCTGACGGCAATCAATAAATCAAACACTCTGACACAACTAAATCCGGTACATGTGGCTGTCCCAGGACTGTAAAAAGCCCATTAACTTATTTCCTTCAGCACACATGAAATGATTGGCTGGCCTACCTGCACGCACTCACTGCACATGAAAATGTATTTTGAGGGCGTGGCTTTTGGGGACGGCGTCAATGGAGGGGTTGGGATCTTTTAGGTTGGATTCTTTCACTGCTGCTTTAATGGATTAAGTCTTTTATTTATTTTTTAATCTTTAGATTTAAATCTTAAATCTTTAAATCAAAACATCATTTGAGTCATTGACTAATCACTTCAGTACTACAGTTTAACTACTGATGGGGAAAATTAAGCTTTCCAATCACTCAACCGCCAAGTAATTGGTCTGAAAATGGTTCTTCGTTTTGATACAGTTTAAATGGTAACATCTGCTGGCCAAGTCTTGGTACTGCATTTAAACTGAAAGATAAAATGCGTGAATCAAAATACAAGTGAAGCCTCCGGTGTTGTCCGGGAGAGTATCCACCTTTAAAACCGTATATGCAGAGTTAATGGCTCTGCTTTTAAATATTATGGAAGCTTGACATAAATCAGAATCAGAATGAGGTTTATTGGCGCACATGAACATAAATATAGAAAAACTAAAGGGATCAAAAATGTGCAAGTATACAATAAATGCAAAAATATACAGGATAATTAACAATGATATGTGCAAAAATTCACAATATGAGCAAGAAACTGTTGCACTGTTCAAACAGTTTTGTAGAATCTTTATAATTTATATAATAGGTTATGACTAATTAGGCATTTCACCTTCCATTGTTTTTCTTTTTTGATTTCCCCTCTCTCACACCAGTCAAACCTGATCGTCTTTTCTGTACGATATTCCTCTTATTCGCGATCGTCACCGTGAATCCAGATTGTTTGCGCTACAAACTTGGTAAAAGCCGTCAAAACAGCGGAGAAAAGCCTTACTCGGCGCTGCCCGGACGCACTGCGGCCCAGACAGCAGCAGAGAACAACAGTAGCGATTCTGCTCGACCACGTTAAGACTTGGCCTGACTACTTATGAGAGAGGAGAAACCACTTGTGTTTCAAAAGAAAGGAATATCTAATTTAATTTAAAGTAATTTAGCCTGAAAACAGATAAAAAGTTATTCATCTTCATGCACTGAAAGGTCGATACTCTAAGAAGAGCTTTGAGCACAACATCACTAAGCTTCTTGTATTGTCAACTCATCAAAAACGCAAACTTAACGAGTTTTGTCGGAGTGAATGAATGTGTACAGTACCTAAATACTCGGTGTGACGTTGCAGGTGCCCATGATTCTGGTTGGAAATAAGTGCGACCTGGAGGTGGAGCGTGTGGTGGCCAAAGAGTCCGGCATCGGCCTTGCCCGCCAGTGGAATTCCTGCGCCTTCCTGGAGACTTCAGCCAAAAGCAAGATCAACGTCAACGAGGTGACCACACACACTTTATGTTTATATAGAGGTCTGTGTGTCACTGTGTCCCGAGTAGCTCCAACTGGACTCCATTAGGCTCTGTTCAAGTTGCCACCAAGCTATTTCGGACAGTGTCTGACTATCTTGGAGTCCTTTTTGGACCTGGTATCTTGTTTTGAAAATGAATCTATGCATGTCAGGTCTGGGTAGCGGTTGGGTTAGGTTGGATGGTGGCTAACATTTTGGAACTATGCATCCATCCCTTTTTAACGGCTTATCCACGAACAGGTCATTGTGGCAGCAAGGTAGCCCTCCTCCTTAACCACATCCTCTAGCTCCTTCAGGGTGACCCTAAGGCATTTACAGATGGGGTATGTAATTCCTCAAGTGTGGTCTGGGTCTGCCCCAGGGCCTCCTCCCAGCAGGGAAGCATCCTTCAGATGCCTGAACAACCTCAAGTGTCTTGTTTTGTCTTTTCCAAGCTCCCTTCTGATATCAGAGGTCTTTGTCCTATGTTTAAAGACAAGAGTAACCATGTACTCCAACCTCAAACTAAAGTGTTCATAGTTATTCCACTCAAATTGCGATGTTTTGAAAAATGTGGTGGTGGTGGGGAGGGTGTGTCAGACTGTGTTCAACCATCCAACAAGCACTTTGGTTGAAACATACTGACCACCAAAGGTAGAACCAAGCCACCCTGAGATTGAGATTAATTATCGATGGTCACTCCCAAAAGCTCATGACCATGGGTGAGGGTTTGAACATATCTTGACTGGTATATCAAGAGCTTCGGCTTCAGGCTCAGCTACCTCTTTACCACAACTGTCCGGGACAACATCTGCATCACCGCTGGCTCCTGTCAATCTCAGAAGCGATCTTACCCTCGCTCATGAACAAAACCCTGAGATACTTAATCTTATTCTAAACTTTTACGTGTGTCTGTGCAGATCTTCTATGACCTTGTGCGACAGATTAACAGGAAGAGTCCAGTTCCAGGGAAAACTCGCAAAAAGTCCACCTGTCAACTTCTCTAATGACAGGTAAGTGTTTAGTATACACACATATATTATTACACACACATACTGTTGTACGTATGTTAAATTTTTTCTTCTCTCTCAACAGTTTTCTGCTCACCTGACCAACAACCAACCAACCCATCACACCACATCTTCCAGCTGGCCACGCCCCTTTAACATGTCATCGTCAACATCAGCCGCCTCTGACCTCTGTTCCCGTAATGACCACATCTCCTGTCCCCTCACCACACTGTCCGACGAAGACGGTTGCCTTGGAAACATTCAAACCAAACATCAAAAAACTGTGGCGGCGATGATGACGATAATGATTCTGCTGTTGCAGGAGTGGGAGCTGTCCAAACAACCGCCCAAATTTAAACAACGGTTCCCATCATGCTCTCTGCTAGGCCATTTTGCGCTGGGGAGTGGCTTCTTGCTTTTAATTTTAAATGTGTCTTTCCTTTTCTTTCTTTTTTTTTTTTCCTTTTACTTATTTTCCAGTAGTCCTGAGCCAATCACACGTGTTTTGACCACTTCACAGTTAGCATAACATGGCTGACTCTGTGTGTGTGTGGGGCTCTGGTAGAACCTGTGGATCCATACAGTGGCTATTATTACAGTGGTTATTATTATGATTCTGTGTGAAAAAATATAAAAGTCAATTATTGTTTTTGTTTTTTGGGGTCGGGGTGGGGGATTAGGGGTGTGCGGCAGATTGCGAAGTCGGCTCACCGTGCTGGTAGCTTTGAGCTAACGTCAGTTACCTGACAGTTACAAGAGTGAATTGGCAATATTCTGCTAATGCCAACCATCAAAATTTTTGGTTCGTTAGCTTTGCTATGATATTTTTAAAGATGTTAATCTGTACTTAGCTTGTGTAGCTTTGGGCTACCTTGTTAGCGTAGCAACTAGTAAATTACATTAGAAAGATTTGGTGGGGTGTTAGCATTATTAGTATATTCCTAAAAAACTGATGGTAGCGTTTGGCCGTGGGCTAGCTCCTAGTTCCAGTAGCAGATGAAATGCATTCAGATTGTTAGGAGGGAATGCTAACTATCAAAATATTTGGTTTGTTAGCATGTTTTTAAAGATGTTAATCTGTACTCAGCTTATGTAGCTTTGGGCTACCTTGTTAGCCTAGCAGCTAGAAAAATAAATTAGAAATATTGTGAACAAATTTAGCTGTTTGTGGGGTGTTAGCATTATTAGTGTATCCCTAAAGAAACTGGTGGTAGCTGTTGGCCAAGGGCTAGCTCCTAGTTTTAGTAGCACATGAAATGCATTGGCATTGTTGGGAGGGAATGCTAATTATGCTAACACACTGTAATTGTTTAACAGCATTTAGTTTCAAAACATTAACAATGAAACACTTGCAACATTTTAACAAATCAAACGGTGTACAAAATGTATTTCAAAGAGCTGTTAGTTGTGGGCTAGCAGCTTGTTGGCTAATAGCCAATGCAATATATTTGGTATGTTGTGAGAGAATGCTAACAACATCAAATAAACAATTAAATGATAGTAACCGTGTGCTAACTTGTTAGCTTAGGAGTGCGGTGAGCTGACTCTAGATCTGCTGCTTAGGGCGGACATGTTGCCTTTAGACAGCAGACTCACACTGGTCCAGTACCTTCTGTGTGTGTGTGTGTGTGTGTGTGTGTGTGTGTGTGTGTTTTTGTATGTTTGTGAGTGTAGGTGAGCTGCAAAACAACAGTGAACCAGGCCAGTTTCTGTGATGACCTTTATGGCCCAGAAGGGGGAGATGCGGGGTGGGGGGTGTTATATTTACTGAGCAGGGCAGCCGGCAGTTGTTGTTTCTGTATTATTAACCATATTATTACCCAACTATTAATGTTTTTAACACAACACATCTGAGAGGGAAGCACTGAATTATCGGTCAAACATCCTGTTGGTCAACTCTCCCTTTAACTGATGGGCTATAGCATTTAAAAGTTACTAGTACTTATTTATTAGTCACTAGTATCTATTCTAATATAATATCTATTAGTTACTAGTGACTTGTATCAATTTTTTGCCATTGAAATCTATGGGGCTCTGCAGTTCAGATATCACCTGTTCATTTGTTACTAGAAACGAATGAATGGTGACTAGTAACCATTTCCATTTTACTAGTCACTATTATTTAGCTACTAGTACTCATATTTTAGTTACTAGTAACTATTCCATTCTAACTAGTAAGAATTACAATGTTAATAATGAATAACTAGTAACAAAAACAAATATACTTTTAAAGATGAAAATGTTACTAGTATCTTATGGAATAGTTACTAGTGACTAATGAATAAGCACTAGTATCTAAATAATAATACTAGTAAAATTTAATTTAGTTACTCGTAACTATAGTTTAGTTACGAGTAACTTAAGAAGTTTGTTTTCTACTGTTTTACTACTTAGTAATAAAGCAGTAATAATCACTAGTAACTAATGGAATAGTTACTATTGACAAATAAGTAAGTACTAGTAGCTTTTAAATAGCGACAAGTAAGTTAAAGTAATAAATGTTAAAACGGCTTGCCATTAACGGGCATGTATTAAACTATCCGGGAATGGAAGCCTAAACTTGACCAAAAAATTTAAGGCTGGCCTTCCCTGTCCTTAGCGTGGGTGTAGTATTTTATGCTAACACTTTAAGTTAGTGATGGTAGCTCAAAGCTACGTTAGCAAGGAGTACTGCTGACCCGTGAATGGTATTCTCATCAGATAAAGAAGAAAGTTGAACTAAAATCTCAGTGTTTATGTTTGAAAGTAGCACGGCTGAGGTAGAGGCCAATCAGAGGAGGTTGGGCTTGAAGCGGAAGCCCCCGTCCCCTTGTGTGTTTTGGGGGGCGTGGCCTGTGAAGCAGTGTCTTCTGTTTGTAATGTGAGAGTGGTCATCTTATAGATACAGTATGTTGGACCAGTGACCTCTGTGAGTACTGCTGTGCACAGTGTTGTACTTTGGGGAGTTCTGCGGTACAGTGTGTGGTACTGCTGTCAGTATTCTGGTTCTCCTCCAGTACGTTCAGCCATGTAGCATGTTGATGTTTCTGTCAGTACTCAGTCTAACCTCCAGGAGGTGCTGCGACAGTTTGCATGCCGAGCAGAAGCTTCCAGGTGAAAGGTCTGTTTGCAGCCATGGCAAGGGTGATCCACATGTACAGAATTAATCTGTTAGCATGCTAACAAGGAAAGCCAGTACGTTACGCTCCAGGAGATTCCTACTGGAAAGTTTTGTGTGAAAAGAGGACCTTTTTTTAGAATTAATTAGCAGCAGAGGTTTGGACTCGAGTGACAAATATGACGTAGGACTTGACAAAATAAAAAAAAACTTGTAACTCGACTTTGACTTTAACACCAGACTTAACTTGGTCCTGAGACATTTGACTCAAACAGACTTGATACCTTCCCCAAGCCCAAATATATATTATGACACGGCTTAGGGCTAGACTCGGACTTTCTTGTCTTGACTTGAGACTTGACTCGGACTTTCTTGTCTTGACTTGAGACTTGACTCTGACTTGCCTATCCTGACTTGAGACTTGACTCGGACTTGCCTGTCTTGACTTGAGACTTGACTCTGACTTGCCTATCCTGACTTGAGACTTGACTCTGACTTGCCTGTCTTGACTTGAGACTTGACTCTGACTTGCCTATCCTGACTTGAGACTTGACTCGGACTTGCCTATCCTGACTTGAGACTTGACTCTGACTTGCCTATCCCGACTTGAGACTTGACTCGGACTTGCCTATCCTGACTTGAGACTTGACTCGGACTTGCCTATCCTGACTTGAGACTTGACTCGGACTTTCTTGTCTTGACTTGAGACTTGACTCTGACTTGCCTATCCTGACTTGAGACTTGACTCGGACTTGCCTGTCTTGACTTGAGACTTGACTCGGACTTGCCTGTCTTGACTTGAGACTTGACTCGGACTTGCCTATCCTGACTTGAGACTTGACTCGGACTTGCCTATCCTGACTTGAGACTTGACTCTGACTTGCCTATCCCGACTTGAGACTTGCCTATCCCGACTTGAGACTTGAGACTTGCCTATCCCGACTTGAGACTTGCCTATCCCGACTTGAGACTTGCCTATCCCGACTTGAGACTTGCCTATCCCGACTTGAGACTTGCCTATCCCGACTTGAGACTTGAGACTTGCCTATCCCGACTTGAGACTTGCCTATCCCGACTTGAGACTTGCCTATCCCGACTTGAGACTTGAGACTTGCCTATCCCGACTTGAGACTTGCCTATCCCGACTTGAGACTTGCCTATCCCGACTTGAGACTTGAGACTTGCCTATCCCGACTTGAGACTTGCCTATCCCGACTTGAGACATGACTCGGACTTGCTTGTTTCGACTTGGGACTTGAGTGCTAAGCCTTGAGACTTACTTGAGACGTAAAAGAATGATTTGGTCCCACCCCTGATTAGAAGTATATAAACACTGAATTGGTGGTTTATAACAAAATGTTATTGTAAGGAGGTATAAGAACATTAAGTGTTTAATTAATCAATTTATTAACATACCGTTAATCATATAATATGTCATTACTATTTTAATACTATTATTATCAACATGTACTAGCATCAAGGTTTATTCTTGACCTGGGAAATAATAACAAAATTAAAAATATAAAAGGTCCACTCACTAGCTTTCATCAAACAGATTAATAAATGTAAAAACACCTCATTACTAAAATAATAAGCACTTCATTTATACATATCATAAAATCTTTTATCATTTGAAATATGTCATTATAATGTGATTACAGCTCAGTCATACTATATTCAGAGGAGTCAGTTATTGACAAATGGATTAAGAAATACCTCTTTGCAAATACTTAATAGTGTTATACTGTTTATTAAGTGTTTATATACTCATTAAAAATGCTTAAGTGGGGTTGAATTAAAGTGTCATTAGGTTTTTAATGGGAAGCATCCGGGTCTGTCTCGCAGTGTTCCCTTGATGAGGAAGCCCATTTTGCTCAGTGTCTGATGGCAGCACCTGGATGACCCACCTGTGCTCTATAAGAGAACAGCCAATAACATACATCACCTGGCCGCGGCTGCAGTCAGACCTTTTACTGGCTTCCACAGTAACAGAGGCTGCGGTGGCATTCGTCATTTCATGCGACTTCTGGGACTGTGATGGTTGACGGCTCAGACCAAATGTGAAGATCATGTCGTTTTGCCACAGTTTTAAAAGGCCTCAGTATGCTTCAAAACAAGTAGGTTGTACGATGTGTTGTCCGATCCGTGTCTAAAGAAAGAAAAATTATACCTGGACAGTCTTTCCTTGGAGACATTCATGGCTCTCCACTCTGTAAACACACATAAAAAGTGATTAAAGAAGTGTTTTGTTTGAAGCACATGGAGGCCTTACTGTCCATGGTAAATTAAGGCTGTTTATTTCTTTTTTACAGAGCTACGCTAGCAGTTTCCCTATGCTTCCATTCTTTGTGCTAAGCTAGGCTAAATACACATTGATCTCTTCTGAGTTATTGTTAAACAGCTCCTTTAATGAATTGAAGTCGCACTGAAGTGATGAGCGCAACCGCAGCCGGAAGCAAACTGAAATAATTAAATCGCAACGAGAAGAAATACTTTTTACATTACTGAAATAAACCTGCTTCTTTTTCTCTGTATGGCATGATGACCAGTGAAATGTAAAAGAAACCAGTTCGGCCAGTGAAGTATCAGGTTGAAAATCCAATTTCCATTCTGCTTAATCATCATGGTTCGGCTGTCGGAGTTTAAAACTGGTATGAAAATTGGTCTGAACTGGTTTCTTCCAGTACAGAAACCCACAGCAGCAGCGGGTGGGAGGGTGGGGGTGGGGGGGTGAAGCCAAATGTAAAAACTAAAAAGCCTTAAATGAATAAAAGTGGTGCAATTTTGTAACAGCAACCTGTGATGTGGAGTCATTCAGATAGATGATTACTTTAATTATCAGTTAATATGCCAATTCTTTATAATTCATAATTTCCTCTATAAAATGTCAGATTGTAGTATATTGTAATGTATGTTATTATTTTGTGACTACCTGAGCTGGTGACTTTAAATTGCTTGTTTTATTCAACCAACAAGCCAAAAATCCCAGAGATACTTAGTTCACTGTCATATATATATATATATATATAAAATATATATAAAATATATATATATATAATATATATATATATATATATATATATAAAATATATATATATATATATATATAAAATATATATATATATATATATATAAAATATATATATATATATATATATAAAATATATATATATATATATATATATATATATAAAATATATATATATATATATATATATATATATATATATATAATAAACACAAAAAACCAAATCCGCACATTTGAGAAGCTGGAACTAGTGAATGTGTAGTAGTGTATTTTATCAAAATATCGATTAACTCATTGATTAATTAACAACCGTAGCAGCTCAAGTGTATTTTGGTCTTGTTGTTTTATACAATTCAGAGACAAAGAATTTTAGCAATATCCAGAGTCACTTCACGCTATTGTGAGTATGTCACAGAATCAGAATACTTATTACGAAGCCCTGGAATAATCGATGAAGGAAAATTATTATTATTTACATTAAAACATGGCCACGAGGTAATTAAAACGTGGGAACTAACTAGGTAGCATCTCATTCCCATGTATTAATGAGAATAATACTACCTCGTTCCCACGTTTTAATTACCTCATGGCCACGAGATGTGATAATTTCCCTCAACGTAATTAAAACGTGGGAAGTAGGTAGTATCTGGTGGCCACAAGGTAAAATATTGTGGCCTTCTTTTAATTAGAATTTTTTTTTTCCATTCAGCGTTTCTTCCAGGGCTCCGTATAAAGGCATAAAAGGAATAGACATAATAGTAGAAGTAGAGAATATAAAATCATCTAAGAATATAATAGATGTGGATATTTGCAGTATTAACAGAAGCAAATAAATTATAAGCTTATTCTAAATTAAATGGATCCAAATTGATTATTAAAAATGTTAATTGATCAAAAATGTTAACATCAAACAGTTAGGAGGGAGAGAGAGGGGTCATTATTATACATTTAAAGGACTACAATCGGAAACTATAAAAAGACTACAATATAGCTGACGTCAGTTATCAACTGCCGCCTGTCTTGCGCCTGCGCGAAACGCTCAGCTGCCATGACAACGGCTGCAGCTTGTTTCCGTGACTGAAGCAGAGGAGGAGCAGGGAAGCTAGCAAAGCATGCGGCTCGTTAGTTAGTTAGTTAGTTAAACGATGTTTTACCAGCTAGTTAATATAATAACAAACAACATGACAAGGGAGTGACTCCCCGTGCTGTTTTTTTTTGTCGGCGGTGAGCGCGCGCCATGACCGTCCGCTTCAAGGTAGGCGTCAGGTGTTAGCATTAGCAACAGGTTAGCCAAACAAACCGATGCTAACGGACGCAGTTCGCTAACTGCAGTGTTCATGAACAGGCAGGATCTAAATTACACACAGTTTGAGATGTAGTGAACCTGTCCCGGTCCCGGTGTACCGGACAGAACCCTGCACGACACTGCAGAGTCAGGATTAATGTGATTTAATCTCATGCAATGAGCTAATCCAGGTAATCGGCATCAGATTGACTGTCTGAGCAAACACTCACCTGCACGAGAGGTACACCTGCTAATGACAAACTTCATCAGTACTGCTCTGTATTTAATAGTAGTTATTAAAATATTGATTGATCCGTTATATTATCTCTATAGATTATCATTTAGTATTGTTGTTGTTTCGTAGCAATATTTTTTATTGTTGATTAATCCCTTGATGATTGTTCAGTTAATTCATACAACATGGCGTTTATGAAAATGTCAGATAAATGTGGAAAATCATTATTATTTACTTTTTTATTGTTCTGTCTCATCACTCAGATTGAATAAAGAGTTTTGAGATTGATTTTAAGATATGAGAAATGCTGATGGGGTGTTTAGGATTATCTGTGACACTTAAGGATGCAACTGATGATTATTTTCATTCATTGATTAGTCTCTTGATTATAACCCTATTGATCATTAGAAAATAGTAAGAAATGCTTTTATACATAATATACATTTAAAATGATATAAATGCAGCAAGTCTGGAGCAAGCTGGAACCAGAGAGTGTTTCACAATCTTAAACAATTAATCGATTATTGAAAGTGTTCATCATCTAATCGTTGAAGGGTTTTAGCTGTAAATATCTGAAATTATTATGAAGTTTTGTATACTGAAAATATGTCTATATATAGTTTGAATAGTGTTTTACCAAAACCACATATACAGTGCCTTGCGAGAGTATTCGGCCCCCTTGAACTTTGACCTTTTGCCACATTTCAGGCTTCAAACATAAAGATATAAAACTGTAATTTTTTGTGAAGAACCAACAACAAGTGGGACACAATCATGAAGTGGAACGAAATTTATTGGATATTTCAAACCTTTTTAACAAATAAAAAACTGAAAAATTGGGCGTGCAAAATTATTCAGCCCCCTTAAGTTAATACTTTGTAGTGCCACCTTTTGCTGCGATTACAGCTGTAAGTCGCTTGGGGTACGTCTCTATCAGTTTTGCACATCGAGAGACTGAAATTTTTGCCCATTCCTCCTTGCAAAACAGCTCGAGCTCAGTGAGGTTGGATGGAGAGTGTTTGTGAACAGCAGTTTTCGGTTCTTTCCACAGATTCTCGATTGGATTCAGGTCTGGACTTTGACTTGGCCAGTCTAACACCTGGATATGTTTATTTGTGAACCATTCCAGTGTAGATTTTGCTTTAGGTTTTGGATCATTGTCTTGTTGGAAGACAAATCTCCGTCCCAGTCTCAGGTCTTTTGCAGACTCCATCAGGTTTTCTTCCAGAATGGTCCTGTATTTGGCTCCATCCATCTTCCCATCAATTTTAACCATCTTCCCTGTCCCTGCTGAAGAAAAGCAGGCCCAAACCATGATGCTCCCACCATCATGTTTGACAGTGGGGATGGTGTGTTCAGGGTGATGAGCTGTGTTGCTTTTACGCCAAACAGAATGTTTTGCATTGTTGCCAAAAAGTTCGATTTTGGTTTCATCTGACCAGAGCACCTTCTTCCACATTTTTGGTGTGTCTCCCAGGTGGCTTGTGGCAAACTTTAAACGAGACTTTTTATGGATATCTTTAAGAAATGGCTTTCTTCTTGCCACTCTTCCATAAAGGCCAGATTTGTGCAGTATACGACTGATTGTTGAGTCTCCCACCTCAGCTGTAGATCTCTGCAGTTCATCCAGAGTGATCATGGGCCTCTTGGCTGCATCTCTGATCAGTCTTCTCCTTGTATGAACTGAAAGTTTAGAGGGACGGCCGGGTCTTCGTAGATTTGCAGTGGTCTGAAACTCCTTCCATTTCAATATTATCGCTTGCACAGTGCTCCTTGGGATGTTTAAAGCTTGGGAAATCTTTTTGTATCTCCGGCTTTAAACTTCTCCACAACAGTATCTCGGACCTGCCTGGTGTGTTCCTTGTTCTTCATGATGCTCTCTGCGCTTTAAACGGACCTCTGAGACTATCACAGAGCAGGTGCATTTATACGGAGACTTGATTTCACACAGGTGGATTCTATTTATCATCATTAGTCATTTAGGTCAACATTGGATCATTCAGAGATCCTCACTGAACTTCTGGAGAGAGTTTGCTGCACTGAAAGTAAAGGGGCTGAATAATTTTGCACTTCCAATTTTTCAGTTTTTTATTTGTTAAAAAAGTTTGAAATATCCAATAAATTTCGTTCCACTTCATGATTGTGTCCCACTTGTTGTTGATTCTTCACAAAAAATTACAGTTTTATATCTTTATGTTTGAAGCCTGAAATGTGGCAAAAGGTCGAAAAGTTCAAGGGGGCCGAATACTTTCGCAAGGCACTGTATATTGTCCTCCAGCCCACTTGATGTAATACCTACAAAGTTTTTGCTGAAGGTAATAGATTCTGTTGGGCCCCATTTGATGTCTGTTTTCAACAGCTCCCTATCTACCGGTTGTGTCCCTGATTATTTTAAAACGGCTTGCGTGAACCCACTTTTAAAGAAACCTGGTTTAGATCCCTCCCTCTCACAAAATTTTAGACCAATTTCAAAACTGCCTTTTATTGCAAAGATTCTAGAAAGAATTGTGTCCAAACAGCTGCTCACTGTACTGGAAAATAACAAAATATTTGAAAAGTTTCAGTCTGGTTTTAGGAAGTACCACAGCACTGAGACTGCCCTGCTTAAAGTCACCAATGACCTTTTAATGTCTGCTGATGAAGGCATGTGCTCAGTCCTGGTACTCCTGGACCTTAGCGCTGCTTTTGACACCATTGATCACAACATCATGTTAGACAGACTGAGGCACTGGGTGGGGATCTCTGGTACTGCCCTAGAATGGTTTTCATCCTAACTGTCAAATAGGAAGTTTTGCATGTCTGTAAACAACTATGTCTCTTCGTTCTGTCCAGTTAAATATGGTGTGCCTCAGGGGTCGGTCTTAGGACCCATTTTGTTTTCCTTGTATCTGCTTCCCCTTGGACATATTATCCATAAACATGGCATTTCTTTTCATATTTATGCTGATGACACACAAATATACTTGCCTGTCAGATCCACAGACCCTGGAATGCTGAGTTCACTTAACAACTGCCTTTGTGAAGTTAAAAAATGGATGTCAAATAATTTCCTCCAGCTGAACTCAGACAAAACAGAAATCCTGGTCATCGGGTCCCAGCAGATGGTTCCCTAGTAAATCACATTAAGCCTGTGGCAAAGAACCTTGGTGTTTGGTTTGATAGTAATTTAAATTTCGAGCAGCACACCACAAAGCTTGTTCAATCATGTTTTTATCAACTTAGAAATTTAGCTAAAATTCGATCTATGTTAACTTTTAAGGACACCGAGACCATTTTACACGCCTTCATCTCATCACGCCTGGATTATTGCAACAGCCTTTTCACCTGTTTAACCCAAAAATCTATTGATCGACTCCAGACTGTCCAGAACTCAGCTGCCAGGCTTTTAACCAGAACAAAGAAATATGACCACATTACTCCTATTTTAGCTTCATTACACTGGCTCCCAGTATGTTTTAGAATTGACTTTAAAATTCTATTGATCACTTTTAAAGCTCTTCATGGCCTCTCGCCTTGTTATATTTCTGACCTTTTAGTCCCGTACGCACCAGCACGTACCTTGAGATCCTCGGGCAGAGGTCTGTTGTCTGTTCCAGAGTCTTGACTGAAAACTAAAGGGGACAGAGCGTTTGCTGTCAGGGCCCCGAGGCTCTGGAACAGCCTGCCCGAGGAAATCAGGTCGGCTGAGTCAGTGAACTCTTTTAAGTCCCTTCTTAAAACATACTTTTATAGGAGAGCCTTTCCCGATTTTATCTGACTTTATTTTATCCCTTTTATTTTATTGTATTTTACTAATTTTATATTTATCTTAAACGTGTGTTTTAGTCTTTTCTTTATCTTGTATTGTTTTTTGGGTATTATTGTCTTTACACTTGTTAAAGCACTTTGTAACTTGTTTTTGAAAAGTGCTCTACAAATAAAGATTATTATTATATTTGTGTGTTTTTTTTCAGGGTCAGAGTGAATACCAAAAGAGCTACAGGGTTTCCAGGTCCAGAAGTGTGTCTCCTCAGCGCTGTGCTCGGTTGGCCGGCCTGCGCTCCGACCAGATGGGTAAGAAACCTGATTTGAGCTCTGATTGGACAAACTTTAATCTGAACATGCTGCAGATACAGGAGGAAGTTTGTCCTTGATCTTTCAGCTTTCCTACCACATGGAACTAAAATATGACTGGAGCTAAGCTCTTTTTTGTTTTGTTGTGTTGCAGTTTTACAAATGCAGAATATGTTTTATCATAACCTATTGCCAACGTTACACTTTTCTGTGCTCCATCGTCAAATTATCTCCTCTCAGTAAAGTTGAATTTTTAATTGAGCCAAAGTTTTAGTAACAATAAATCAAAAACAAAAGTGGAACAATCTTTGAACACATAGATATTCACTTAGAAATACAAAAGAGAAAAACAACAAAGAATTTGATAATTAGTATTCTAAAAATCTAAAATTACTGCTTGTCTTTGACATGTCTTTTTCTCAGGTATCAGCAGAGAACCGAGTCTCCAACGTCGAAAAAGGCTCGAACCTGGTGGTATTCAGTCCTGCAGCTCTCTCCTCTGTCCTCCAGATCCGCACCATATTCTCCCTCAGCCGACTCCTCAAGCACACAGAACTTCGGGTAGGAACAAACTGATGAGAATCCCCCCCAGATAAGTATTAAAATAAGAACCCAATAAAGCAGGTTTATCATCTTTTTCAAGCTTGGCCCAACACCCATTATTGTGCAGTTTGGCTGAGCTTTGAGCTTATTTAATATGTGTACAGTTAGCATGCGAACCTGCTAGCTTTTAGCATGTAATGTTAACACATAAACAAGATTTAGGTTAAAACTACCAACATGGGGCGGCTGTGGCTCCAGAGGTAGAGCCCCGAATTACCCCTGACGGCTGTTTTGCGAGTGTATGAATGTGTGTGAATGTTAGTTTCTGTTTGAGCACTTAGGCTCAGTGACTGGTGAATGCAGATGTAGTGTAAAAGCGCTTTGAGTGGTCGAAAAGACCAGAAAGGCGCTATACAAGTACGGCGCATTTACATTTACATTAGAATATGAACACACATTTATTTTGTCTAATATTAGTTTGTATAAAAACTGCCGTTTAGCATGTTAGTATGCTAGCGTTAGCATCCTGTGTAAGCTAATAATGTGTTCTTTAAATGTCCTAATTCCTCTCCTTCGCTTCATTACCAGCCTCCAAGAGTCACTCAGCCCACAGGAAGGGACCTTCCCTGGAGCCACAACCCCCAACACCTCCTGGAGCACGAGAAGACCCTGGATCTCGTGCAGACCCAGAACCTCCAGCAGGACCACGACCTACTGCAGACTCAGGACCTCCAGCAGGACCACGACCTGCTGGAGATTCTGGGTCTGCAAGAGATCCAGGAGCCAATGGAAAATCTGGTAAATATCATAGACTATAAAACATAGACATACCATCGTATCCGTGTCAGAACCCATAGGTTTCTGAAGAGAACTGTTGTTTTTGCCACTCTTGGGTTGGCTTCCTTTTTCAGCCCTGGAGGTTGATAACAATACATCCCACTGCTCTTTTTCTGTCTCCTCAGTGAAGCCCCACCCCTCCAAGCCTGACAGCCAACCACACCTTAGCCAACCTTTGACAGCAGCGCCTGATGGACAGCAGCCCTCGGCCAATGAGGTGAGCCTAAATGTAGTTGTAATCCGAGTTACTACCTCTCAGTTAAATAAACCTTAACTGAAAATATAAATGAACAGTTCTGCCTCCATCCTGTGTTGCAGGTTCAGCATGCTCTGCGGTGGAGGGCGGGGCTGAGGTCGGGAGGTCAAAGGTCAGGAGGTCATAGGTCAGAGTACCTCAGACAGTTTGGCTGGAAGAAACCCGCGACTGCTGCTTCACCCCTACTGACTGCAGAACAGGTACGATATTACCAAATAGTACTGAACACTGGCACTACCACATGTGAAACCCATACTGACAGTCTGACAGGTGCTGCATGCTGCTAGCAAATACTTCCCCTTACTAACAACAACTCCCAAATGCTTTATATATTTTAAGATCTTATAAAAGGGACAATTAATGTCCACCTCTCAACATAACTAAGTTTCAGTATGTCATCCTGAACACAAAATGGTGCTAACTAGGAATGACCGATCTGATAAGCCGCATTGGTATCGGCCCCGGTACTGACCCTTTTAAAGGTGTTGTGGCCACATGGAGCACGATAGAGCAAACCTTTAATGAGCAGAACCGCTCATGGACAGTTGTTGCTGGTAACTTGCTAACAAGCATGACAATGCACCAACAAAGCCGAGGAGGAAGAAGAAGACTGCTTGCTAGCAAACGTGGATGTAAACAATGCAGGACTCGAAACAAATAAAACATTTATGGGGAAGAAAATGCACAGAACACAAGCACCAAGATTAGACACTGTGTTTGGCTGAGAAACAATGAAAGCAATTTTAAGTGGACCCGGTGGTTCGTTTCTTTCTTGTGATTGAGTGATTCTGTCAGTTTCATTTGTGCAGTCACGGCGGGCGGCTGACTCATGTTACCTAATGCCTCATGCACACTAAAGGACTTTCACAATGTGGGATGCCGCAGACATAACGACAGAATTAACCGATTTTTAATATTTTATTGTTAAGAACACACACTAGACGATTCAGTCCAGACGCAGGACCGCACACTTTATACTAAAAGATTTCAGTGTGGCGGTCTAACAGAAACCCACGTGATCCAACAGAACTTCAGACAGACTGTCGTCTTCAGCTGGTTGTACTTGTGTGTGTGCTGTGTTTTGCACAGAAAAACAAAAAGAGAGAATCCAGAGTGAGTTTAAAGACCTGTAGTTCAGCTGCGTGTCCACTAGGTGGAGGTAGACCGGTTTCATTTAACTGAAGAGTAACTGATGAGTTAACTGTTATGTTAGTTATTGATAAAACTGGTTTATCTATTGATTTTGAAATGTTTCAGTGAGTCATTCAGTTAAAAAAAGTCTCTTCATTGGTCCTTTATTTATTGATTAATATTTAAGTGACTGGTCATTAGTGACTGCTGCTGACCTTTAACCCCTCCCTGCAGGTGCTTCACTCCAGCAGCAGATTTGTGCCCCCCTTTAAGAAGAACCCCTTTTCCATGGACACTGAGTATCGGCGGAGCTTCCAGGGTCTGGCCCCGCCTCCTAAGCCCCGCCTTCGGAAACTACTAGAACAGCAGAGAGTCCCACTGTTCCACACACACGTGGTAGAGCGCGCACACACACACACACACACGTTCTGTTGCGGTACTTGTTTCTGTATGAATGACCACTGCCGCCTACTGTTGATTTAGATTTCATTTCCTGTCACACCAACACAGGATGCTTGAATTTGCACTTGACTAATTTACTGAATGAAGCTTTCTAGTTTCTACTGTTTTATTTTACACACATCTGCTCAGTTGGAACTTTCAACAGTTTTGCCAGTTTTCAAGCAGAGGAAAAGATTTTAAAATAGCTTAAACCAGAACTTCCAGGTTCTGTTCAAGGAATAAGAAAACCTCATTGACACTAATAGCTAAACCTCCAGCCCTGGAGCAGAGTTTATTTATTCTTTCATTTGGTTTCTTTGTGGTCCTGACTCGAACGGGTGACCTCGGGTACGAGAGGCGGACACGCTGACGAGGAGGCTAAAAACCCATGGGCACTAGCGTCTAAAATATATACGGCAGTAGTTATGTTTTTTTAACGGCCTTTAACAAATACCGTTTCCCATAAGCCCTAGATGTTCGTGGGTTAAACACCATGTTTCAACAAAAGACACGAGTCCAGGAGCGAGTTGAGGAGTCGCTGTTCGTCAGACATGTCTGCTGGGCTGAGAGGAGTGCTGTAGTTGATTGATCTAATGCTGCCTTCCAGGCAACTCGGAACTCAGAAATGTCCAACTTCCAAATAGAAAAAGTACAACGAATGTGAACTCTGGGAAACAATATGTACCCCGACTTCAGGAGAAGCAGCTGCATGACGTCACACAACAACGGCAGCTCCCACGAAAGCAAACTCTGTAAATGGTAAACCGTGAACTAAAAGGCAACAGAAAGTACGTTTAGCATGTACTTAATTAAACTAATATATACTATCATTTAGTAAAACCTGGTTTATAACATATATTTATGTCACTTGTGTTCATTAAAACACCTCTTTTAAATTATCACCAAGGGCGCCGCGCCTGGGTTCAGATGTGTGTACATTGACAAAGGAACAGTTTTTTAATGGGATCTGTAGTATTATTTTTTTTCTGTGCCCACACAGTGGTGGTGGTTTAACTTTTTAGTTTATCAGCTGCTGTAGTGGAGGTGATATGTCTTCCTACAGTCATTTAACTCTTCACAACAGAAGCCCTGAATGAGCTGTGTTCATCTGCAGAGCAACAAAAAGAGGAGGGAGGAGTCAGTGAAGAAGCCCCGCCCCAATCCGGAGAAAGATGATGCCACGCCTCCTCCTCCTCCTCAGGTGCAGAGAGGACACAGGTGTGTTTCTGTGTTTTACGTGTCTTATTGTTTATTGTAAATTCATTATGTTTATGAGTCTGTCTGTCTGTCTGACAGGATGTTGACTGAGTATGAGTCCAGCTTTCGTTCTCCCCTCTACAGGATCCCGGAGGAAGGCGGAGCCACACACAGCGATGCCCTTCAGGTCAGGGTTCAGTCTTGTTAAGTGCGCGTCATAATGAGAGGCGGGGTCAGTAACTGTGTTTATTACTGGACTCGTTTAGAAGCTGGATATCAGTAAGGAGGTAGGTAAAGGTCATGTTTAGCCTAGCTTAGCATATAGGCTGGAAGCAGGAGGAAACTATAACTATAGGTGGAGGCGTTAAATATGCCCATTTGGGTTTTCTGCCTCTCAATTCACTTTATATAAAAAAAAATCGTCTTTTCTAAAGAGGAAAAATACATCTTCAAACAGCTCCAGTTAGCTTACGAGCTGTTCAGCTGGATTTAGTTACCAGAGCTCAAACATGGAAACAAAAACTATGAGAAACAAACATAAAAGGGTTTGCACTCTTGAATCCAGACTTTTTAAGAAGTAGTCTGGTGTAGGTGTAAGTAGCCAAGAGAAACAGTCCCTTATTATAGTAAAAATGCCTAAACACTTACAAAACACACAAGAGGCTCTTCAGATGCTAAAAAATCCCTTTATTAATAAAAATGTGACAATGTTACAAAAAAATGAGCATTTCTTCCACAAGACCATCGTCACTTACAAACCGGGTTCTCATAGAGATTTCTGTAAGAACCTGGATGTCTCTCTCTCAGTACTTTCGCACAGCAGCTGCTCTAGTGAGTATTTGGGGCAGCAGGACAGCAGTGTTTTTCATTAATGAACAAGACTAATTGGTTACGCCATAATATCAAAATGAACCGAAAATATTTTTACACATCTCACACACTTTGGCATCCGACTCAAGACCACTTTTCTTTTGAGGTAACTACGGTAACGTTAACGGTCTGTTTCTGTCACTCGTTTCTGAGAAGGCGATGAAGCTAGCTGCACCTAAATGTGGAGTGCACACGTATTCAAGCCTTTATGGTAACTGAAGTGGCCCAGAGCGAGCTGACAGGCAGGTTAGAGACTTTATCCTGTCAGTTTGTCTCTTTACAAAGACAAGGGCTGCAGGATGAGAGTCTTACCTGAAGAGAGACTGTGAGGACGAGAAACCACATATAACATTTTTTATCAAACCGGGTGGGACTGGATGGATTTAGCGCGAGGAGGAAACACATGTGACAACGTACGGTTTTCAAAATAAGGCGTCTGTACCGGATGGAAATAAGATTAATTGGATTATATTAACAGAAAGTATAAAACATATTACATGGGTCCATTTAAAAAATATAAAATGTTAGGAAAATTAGTTATTTTGTAGTCTTTGATTTAGGGTTGCTCGAAAAACACTAAATAAATTAGTTGACTTTTGTTGCTTTTTCATCACCATTTATAGCTCTACAATGGGTTTATGATTAAATAGTTTATTAGAGCACAATATTGTTTATAAGAGTGCAAAGTTTTTCATAGATAACCTCTTAATTTTGCACCAAAATAATGCATTTAACTTGAAAATGTACAAAAAACCCGCCCAGAGGGTCCGAGGACCCCCCACCATCTCATCGTCTCTTAATATCTTGTAGGAAACACTGAGGACGGTGTATGTGGGACATAAATAAACTAAAGTGGGTCCATGGTGATACAGAGTGACTTTTAGTAGTTGTTATCTTCTCTGAACCACCTTCACTAAAGGTTTGACCACTTTTGTGTATGTTTTTAGCTAAAATTAAACTCTGCAGCACTTTGTCCACCTGCACCTCTCAGCACCTCACAGAGAGGACGGTTGATCTGACTGATCATTATTCCCTTGATCAGCTTCCTTCATGTGGTAGACGGGGGATTTGTGCCTGCCAGCTAGCTAAACTGTGTGCTTGTGTGTGTGTGTTGCTGATGGAAACTCAGAGTGCTGAGTGTCAGCATTGAAACCACAGAGCTTCATTTCAGGGAAACAACTCACTGTTAGTCACACACACACACACACACACAGGTAGCTTCCCACCAGTCTTGTGGAAAGTGTCGTTGAGGAAGGGGACAGCTGCTTTTTGCAAGACGAAGCACTTTTCAACTTTTCTACTTTAAATCTGCAAAATTCAGCTGGCATCAGTTCAGATAAAAACATCAAACAGGTGCAGACGAACAGCGTAAAGTACATTCCCAACACCTGTGCAAGGGAAAACAGTTTCTTCAGCTCTTAGTCTTACATTTTCCTTCCTAATATCTAAAGATGTTGTTACACTGTATTGCCCTGTTCTGTAACCGGGGATGTGCCTGCTGATTTGGGCCCTTCAGTTCCAGTAAAGGCCAAATCTTAACAAAAATGTTCTTTCAACTTTGTGGCAACAGCTTGTGTTAGTCCACTTCCTGTTTCAACATCACAACACCCCCGTGCACAAAGCCAGCTCCATGAAGAAATGTTTAGGTGTGGAAGTCTTTGACTGGCCTTTACAGATCCCGTACCTCTACCCCATCCGACAGCTTCCGGATGAACTGGACCGTGAGCCAGACCTGATCTGGGAGCAAATCTCTGCAGCAGGTTCAGCATCTGCTGGGAACCTGAAACCAGCAGAGTGGAGGCTGTCAGAGCAGCACATGTTCAACGATGTGTGATGTGAAATTAGGGTTGGATCTCGATCACATCTCGATGTGGCCAAGTGCATTATCTAAATTGCAGGAGCTGATAAAATGTGTCACAACGTACCATATATATGAAGCATTGTGGTGCTACAGAGACGCCCCCGGCCTACTATTTATAGTTTCCAGAGGGAACGTGCTGTTTGGTGCAGACCCCAGCAAAAAATGGGACACAATTTTTATATTTTATTTAGCAAAAATGAAATGCAAAAATGGCTTTTTAATATCGTGACTCATTTCGCAATATCTGTTAATAATTGCAATCGTTCCACCCTGTATGAGTTTTTTTAGAGGCCGTGTTGAAGGATGTAGTTTGTGAAGATGTTGAACTGTATTGCATTATAGAAAAAGGTGTGTATGTTATTTAGTCTACCCTCATTGAAGGGCGTGTTGTGATTTAGAGGCGATAATATGTATTTGTATTAGTGAAGTACAGTAAGTCTGTCCGGGACCAGAAGTAATTTTTTCGTGACTAACATGAAAGTATTTACAGGCTTTATTTATTTTATATATCTTTGCTGTTTAGAGATGTTAATGCAGCCTGAACTCAGTTTAATGAAACCTAATATTAATGCATTAATTGTTAATTGCTGGTTTTGTATAAATTAGTCTAAATAAAAAGCATTAGCATCTTTTTTGGGGGTGGAAGAAACCAAACCTGCTCTCATTGATATAAAAGATTTGAAACTTCTCCCAACACAGAAAACAGAACATTGAAACTTTCATGAAGGGAGAATTCATTGCAGAGCTGCTTTAGCTTTAAATAGGTGGACCTAATAAAAGCTCAGGGTTATGCACAACTGGAGTTTGTTCTGGTGGAGAGCACAGAAACTAATGCTGCAGCTTATTTTAATTGTACATTATTTCTTTAAATAAACTAAATTGATGAATCTGTGGATGACGTGTAAGCGTCCCATTAACTTTCCATCCCTGCGGTGAGTCTGGCCTCTAAAGAGTTTCAGTATGCGGAGGGAAGCTTTCAGCTGACGTGAGGTGCTGTTGGTTCAGAGGACACAATAAAACCTATACAGACTCCTGTCAGTCAGCACAGCAGCCGTCAATGTGTCAGCCGTATTGTTCGTCATGGGGATTGAGGTTTAGATTAGGGCTGAGGTTAGCTTTGAGGACTGGGGTCAGGGTCAGGTTAATGTGAAGGATTACCAGAATCAGTGAGTGAGGTGTTGCAAAAGCTGCAACTCAGACACATTTCATGATTAAAGCAGAGTTGAAGTATTTAATGTGTTTGATATGAACTCTCTGTAACCCGTTGTGATTGCACAAACCTTTTTAAATCATTTCTCCCTTTAAACCTGCGAGAACGTGGAATCTGTTTTGTGTTTTTGTTTGATGATCAAAATAGCTGCAGAATAAACAACAAATTGATTAATAAACGTTTCATCTCTGAAATGCATTTTAATTTGAGTCAAAGAACTAAGAACCGGCCTTCAGGATTTAGTCTGCATGGTTCATCTTTCTCATGTACAGGTTCAGGAGTTGAGTCAAATTAGGTGCTAACTGGTCAAACACAAACCTTAAATGCTGCTACAACTTGTGCACAGCTTCATTCACGCAGTCATATCAATATATACATAGTATATAGTATCTTAGCCTCTCCGGGCCATGCTCCGGAAGTGAATTCACTCTGTTGCCATCTGGGCGTCGTCATGCACTACCTGCGTGCAACCACCACTCCAAATCTTTTCTCCCTGCAGGGTGTAGTATTTATATTGCACATTACATTATCTACTGGCATTTTACTATTATTTATTCAGGTTCTGGGTTCACTTGCTTGGTTGTATGTTGTGTAATGTGTGTGTTTTGCATTGTGTATTTGTTTTTTGGGTACATGTTGCTCTTACCTAATTGCCCCTAGAGAGATTAATTAAGTTTTTTGAACTTGTAGGAATAAATATTGTTTGAAGTTTACATTTGGCACCATAAACGTATGCTGAATTAGCTGTTTGAGTTCAAGTGGATTTGTGGACATTTATTGACATCAGGCCTCCTCGGAAAGTGTAAGTCACACTGAAGCTAAAAATAAGTGTATCGTGTCAGCGTGTTGAGATTTGACTCGGAGAACAAGTCCGAATTGTTATGCAAACTGCGATAAACGGGTGCTAAACGGGTCGAACTATAGTGATTAACCTGTTGTTTTTAGACATGCAACTGTCCTTTTCACCTCATGCAGTATCTTTAGATTCTGAGTTTAACTCCTGGAGTCTTAGTTCATGGACGTATTAGGTGAAAGTAGGGTTGGGCATTGATTTGAACAATTCTGATTCCATTTGTGCCACAATCTTAGCAACTAAAATCAAGCAAGTTGTTTCACTACAAGTTCACGATTGCAACGAGGTACATGTTAGTTGTCCAAGGAGGACGAGGCAGGACAGGGACAACGCCTTAGCATGTCGAACACGGTGTACTACTTGTTGATTTTTAGTGCATCCTCCCGTGCAAGAAATAAGTGTCTGCCAGGTGTTGCCGACCCGAGGTTATCCATCATAAAGTAAAGCCACACTTTTGAGCGTTGCTTACTGCACACCATGGCTGCAACAGAACAAGCGCCTGAAGTACGGTGGCCGCAACAGAAACCAAAACTAGAGCGTGTTCATTTTGGTGCCGATGATCGGATTCCAAACAGTTCCATTGTAATCGTGATTTTTGAAACCAATCCCGTTTAAAAGACTTCCTGTGTGTCCCCGTGCAGGTGAAGGAGTTGAGGCAGAAGGCCTTGTCGTACCGCCGTCGAGCCTGGGGAGCGAATTTCTGCAGAGATCACATGAGCCAGCTGCTGTCTGAACACAACGCTCTGTGGGAGCCAACAGAAACCACAGACTCTGCCACTGACCCCCCCTCCCCCCGCCTCGCCTCCGATCACGACCCAGACAACCGCAGCACTTCCTGTGTGGAGGCCCTGGACCTGGCCAGGTGAGAGACACGACGGGTGGAGAGAGCGTCCTCTGAAGACGTTTCTTTTATTACATAAGTGTCTGTCTCTGTTTTCAGCCGCTCCAGTAACTCCAGTAAGAGGTCTTCTGTTGCGGGGTCAGCAGAAATAACCAGAACAAACAAAAACACACAAATAAAAGCACAAACACCTCCAAGCCCTCCTGCTGAAAGGCATACGGCCTGGGGAGAAGAAGAAGAAGAAGAAGAAGAAGAAAATACACACGAGTAAGTGTTACTCTTCTGATACTTCTTGTCTTTGACATTGGTTGATACCACTTTCAACTCTCTCTTAAATATGAAGCTACAGCTAGCAGATGCTTAGCTTAGCATAAAGACTGGAAATGGCGGGGGAACAGTCGCATGACCACAACTTGACGTTTTTACACTTGAATGTGTTTAAGGTCGGGTATCGTTGAAATTTGATTGATTCTGATTCTTCCATAATAATCTGGTTCTTATGGAATCTCGGGTCTGCGTTTATAGACAAATACTCACTGCAGTTCAGTCAGGAGCTGAAATAAGCAGAAAGTTAGGAACCGATGAGCAGAATCCAAACGCTCGGAACGTCTTGGAAATTTAGTAACCGTTCCAACTTTGAACTGGTTCTCGATGCCCAACCCCAAACGAGACTTTAAGTGTTAATGATTGAGCTTTAGAGGTGCTGGTAGGAGGATATTGGTCCCTTTGGACAGAGCCAAGCTAGCTGTTTCCCCCTGTTTCCAGTCTTTATGCTAAGTTAAGCTAACTGGCTGCAGGCTCTAGCTCGTGTTTTTATTTTTAACTCTATAAAAAACAGTTGAAAGTTCAGACTCCAAACTTGATCGACTGATGAGTTGGTCGGTCGGTTTGTAGATGTGGGACAGCAGCGGTCTGGGAGCATCGTGTTGCATTAATGACCAAAGGGGCCGTTAGCCAGCATAGCGTAAATATGAAAGGAAAAGAAGGGAAAGGATCCACAGCTTTCACGCTTCATTCATACGTTCGATGTTTCTTTGTTCTTCGGGGCTGGAATCAGGACAAATCTGAATGTAAAGCTGCAGTTTATTAATGCTGTTTCCACAAAGACGTCTGTCTTCACACAGACGCCAACGTATTTCTGGTTGAAACTCATGCAGTTTTTATTCCTTTGATGTTTTTCTGCGGCCACACTGGTTTCTTAGGAACTGAAACTGTGTGTTTGTCTTTGGTGTCGGGGGATGTTTTGTGTGTACGTGTGTGTCTGTGTGTAGGGAGGAGGGAAGGTTACCGACTCCGAGGTTGAAGATGCTACCAGTTCAGAGAACTCACCATGACCTCACCACACCTGCCACCGGTACGGGAGCGTGCGCACACACACACACACACACACACACACACACACACTGCTCAGACCACAGTGTATGACCTCTGACCTCTGTCTTCCAGGAGGCGCTATACTAGTGGGAAAACTGAAGAGCAGTGATGAATCTTCACCATTCAAACAGGTGACACTATAATCAGTTATACATTATCACGGCTCCGGACTGCGACTAATTGGTCACATGTGCAACCTGCCAGTTTGCTGACTTGTTTTTACTCTTTATTGCATGTTGAAAAACGAGGAGGGAGCGAGTCTGCCAGAGTTGGCCAATGCGTGTGAGAGGGGCAGGGCGTGGGTAACATAACATAACGCGTGTCTCGCTTTCGTGGTGTCAAACTCATGGTCTGTAAAAGTCAACCATGGCTAAACGAACCACTGACGTATTTGTTTTCCATCTCCGGTTCCTCCTGTACCAGATCCGGGCCCCTCACAGCAGCAAACTGTCAACTAGTCAGAGTCAGAGTTCGCCGCGGCGAATAAATCCGAGAACACACCGTTTCCGACGGGACTGGCTGAGGGAGTTTACACGGATTAGATTAGTGAAAAGGAGAGTAAGGAACAAGTTGTTTACTTGTTCTGATTTGTTGTTTTGTTTTGCACTGTAATGACGATGATGCAGCAGACATGTGTGATACCAACGTCTCACATTTGCCTACAAAAATAAATGACATTGTGCAGGACGTGCAGTAAGTTAAGCTAGTTCAAAGATGCAGGGTTAGTGTCAGGGCCGCGAAATCCTGGAGGGCCTGTAATGATTCAAGTAGAATTATAAAGTTAAAAATATCACATCAACCTTTGCAGTTTTCAATTATTCACACAATTTCATCACCAAAAACAAAAAAAGGCTCGAAACATTGCCGCTGTCAACACAATATTTTAGAAAAGCTGCTGCAATATGAGGCATTTTAGCCCACAACAATCACAATAAAGGCTGAGAAATCCTGGAGGGACTGACTAGAAGTGTGAAAAGAAGAGAAATTTGGACATATGGAGGACCGACTGAGCGCGTCGGCCTCCGTAGCTTCTCCTACAGGCATAAAAAGGTAGGAGTGAGCGGTGACTGAGCCGTTGTAATTTGCTACCGTCACCACTAGATGCCACTAAAACTTGCACACTGAACCTGTAAGGGTTGCGCCCCACAATGTTCTTATTCTTACTAGATGCACTGTGCTTCTAGTGAAAAAAAGATTATATTTTGTTGTGATACTTACGGGACTGTTTTTGTGGTCAGAGGTGCGGGTCTGCCGTGTCTATGGCAGCGGGGGCGGAGACCGCGCTAGACGTGCCGGTCAAACGGAAGGAGGCGTGGTCAGAGAATAACTCCCCTCACACACCTTCATCTGGCCCCTCGCCCGACCACAAACCAGCTGCCAGTCCTCCCTCTAAACCAATCAGGACGAAGCAAACGCCTCCACCCGCTGTAGCCCCGCCCCCTCTGGTCCCACCCCCGCCGCACTGTATCCAAGGCACTCTGAGACACCCCGACTTCCAACACAACGGTGAGCTTCACATCAGGAATGTTTTGGTATTGTATTGCTGAGTAATAATCAGTTGAATTACAGATCTTCTGCATTAATCGATTGATTGTCTGGTTCCTGAAGCCCAAACTGACGTCTAACATCAGAAGAAAGCAGCACATTTTTGCTTAAAAACAAGATTTAATTTATTAAATTATCAAAATGGTTGCCAACAATTTGACTGTTGATTAATTGATTGAACGTTTTTATATTGATTTTGTGATCAGCTCGGTGACCAGGACGATTTCTTTCTGTTCTTTTTAAATAAGCTGCTTCCTCATCACTCCCGCGTGAAGAATACAAAAAAAACCCTTATAATAAATACATTTATATAAATCTCTAAGTTGATTAAAATTACAGCATGTGCTTTGGCTTTGAACGTTTTAAGGAAATGTAGAAACAAGTGAGGAAGGAACCCTGATTTTATTAAAAAGCCACTAAAACCAATTGAAAACGTTCCTCTCTTGAATAGCTTCTTTAAATTATAACATAACTGCTCATATGTGATAAGGTTTGATCCAAATTTGAGGCTGTAACCTGCTAAAATTGTAAACCAAAGGAGTATCTACCTGATCTTAAAATAACAAAACCTCCTCTGTCCTGGCTGCTGTTAATATCTGCCGACACACTCACGGGGACTCCCCCTCTCCTCTTCACTTCCTTCTCATTTTCTTTTCATCTAGTGTTCTCAACAGATCCGATTTCATATTAAACCTGGGAAAACCTCTCAGTGGCAGATTTCACTACATGTTTCGTGTAATGAGGGTTTTTCAACATGACGAAATGAACTGTGAGACAATAAAACAGCTGTTTACCCTCACAGCTGACGATCCCTCTTGTAATCTTATTTCTATATTAGGCCATTATGCAAATCAGTGAGCAGATGTGCTTTATGGCAATATTACATTTATGATCATGTTCCCAGCTCAGCTCTATGGATGGAAATATCTCTATAGCCGCATTTCCTCCACAGGAACTTTACCCAGAACTAGGAACCTTTGGAGGAACTCACTGTGTTTCCTCCGCAGGGAACAGGGACTTTATTTTACCCCCCAGAAAAGTCCCTGCCCGGGGAAGAGGGTAGTTCTCTTTTTCAAGGAACTAAAAGGTTCCTTCAGCCCATTATTGATTTATTTTAACTGATTACATTTAGTTTAGTTTTTTTTTTACATCCAGGATGTATTTAATAAACAATTAAACATGATAACAGTACATGTACATAACTTTTAAGTCTTTGGTTTTGTTGTAACACTGATAAATAACTTTTGGAAGGAGGGCCAGTAAGTTTCAAACCCACTGGCCCGGTGGGGCCAGTTGCAGAAAAGTTTAACGTTGAGCCCTGATTAGCATGAACATCAACAGTGCCAATCAATCAGCATGTTAGCATTTAGCTCAGAGCACCCCTGCTTTTAATTTTATTGTAACGTGTTTGTTCAAGGTTGCCTTTTTCTGTCTTATGCACTCACTTTTCTCCCAGTGAAATTAGTAAAAAGTCTTTAGTCCTCACCTGTTGCTGTGTAAGTACAGCCTCACGGAACAGCTAGCATGGCTGTGTTGTTAGAAGATTATTCATTGGTCAGATATTTAATTCCCTTTATTAACTGAAAGCAGTTATTTTGTCATTTTCAGTTTCTCTATAGATTTTCGGGGGAAAAAAAGACCACATCACAGTTTATATAAACTGTGTGTTGTGATCATTATCAAATTGCATATAATGTGATGAGGATTTTGTCCCTCTGTGTGACTGTAGTAAATTGCTAATCCATAATGTACACGTCACAAATAATCCCGTACCCGTGTCTCCGCAGGTGAGTTGGGTCTGAGGTTCAGGGAGCGGCAGTGTTCAGGAGGAGGCTGCGGCTCTGATGACGGTGAAATAAAAATAAAAATAACAACTTTCTACACATTTTAAATAACGAAAAACAATCATTGATCTTGTTTTAAATGTTTTTAAATTCTTCAAATCTTCCCGTTGCCTAGACGACCGCCTGTCGGTGATGTCGTGCCGTTCGGCAGCTTCCTGCTCCGTGGCGTCCGCCGTGCTGGAGCGTGCTCAAAAGAGACGAGAGAACTTCTGGGGGAAGAGATGACCTCTGACTGAGTTTATAGTGGATCAGTCACTGCTGTAGAACAATTAGTGAGGATATTTTTTAAACAGAGGAAAGTGCTTAATTTAAATAGTGGGAATAATGTATATTTATAGATTAATGTAAGATAATTGTACTGTTCCTTTTTAAACTACACTTTTGTAATAGATGGTTTTTATAAATATAGTAATTTTGTGTATTCAGTAATTATGTTGCTCTCTGCGTGTTTGCAGAGATAAAAGTGACATAAACACAGACTGATTTTAGCTTTTGTGGTATACAAATCCTGAAAATAATGAGTTTAAGTTACTAAAAATAAAATAAGAATGTGAGCATGAACCTTTGTCTTTGAACTCTTTAAGAAATGTGGTCGTGTTGGTCACCTTGAACTCTTCCTCAGCTTTATGATCAGATCACATCATTACTATGCATCTGACCTGTAACTGGGACTGAAACAAACTTTACAAAGTTCTTAACAATAAAGGATAAAATGAAAATAACAAAAACACAAGGACATAACAAAAGCAAGCATAACTTAAAGGTTCAATGTGTCAAACTGCCCTAAACATGACGTTTTAAGCTGTTTATAATTAAGCATTTATTATAACAGCATATAGAATATTTGGGACGGAAACTAAACTTTGGTGGATGCAAATAATTTATTGTTTCTTCTTCATTAACTGCTGAGCCACAATTTCTCACTTGAATGTTAGCGTCTTAGTTGGCAAAAAATATGAAGTATAAATGAAATTACCGTGAAACTTATAATCAATAGCCAGAGCTTTTATTTGCTTCACTCACTGAACTCACCCGGCCTTTATTTGGGACAGACCTTTAATTCCTTCTGCACAAAACTCTTGCTCAGCAAATATGGGAAATGAAAAAATGTGACTTTTTTTTCTTCTCTTATTGAACGCACCCAGAAAATCAGAATTTCTTTCTTGTAAAATGAACTAAATAAATTGTGGAGAATTTAAGCTATCTAATATTGTGTAGCTTAAAAGTACTCGTTATGCAGAATGGCACAGGAATGAACATATATTACAATATATTTCTGGATTATAACCGCTTTAATGTTGCAGCTGATAAAGGTTGAGTTTCTTTTAATGACTCTACGTACTGCTGGGGGACTTGTGAATGGGAACAATAAAGTTTTATTGACACAACAATATCATTTATTTGTTGATTTATATTTTGTATTATTGATCTGAATCAGCAAAGTAACTAAAGTTATCAAATAAATACAGTGAAGTAAAGAAAATAAAATATTTCCCCCTGGAAAAGTTTGTGGAGCAGAAAATGGAAATACTCAAGTACCTCAAAAGTGTACTTTCACCACTGCAGGATTGTCAGCAGTAGTACTCTTGTACACTTCCTCTGTACATCTAATCTGCTGTTTTATTTTCAGTCACCTTGATTAGGTTGGGAATTTTACAACAAAAATCCTTAATCACACCTCTTTAAAAAACATTACAGAGATGATATCATCGTAGTGGAAGAGGAACAAACTTCGTCATCATCACTTCTTACGGACAGAGAAGAAAGATTACCTAGCAGCTGCTCACGCCGCTCGCACTAAACCAACACACGGCCGACTGTGAATTCCCCTCGTGATGATAAACAGGTCACACAATATAAACGTCAGGGAGTGTGCAGGGGCGTGTGCTCTCCTGTCATTTTATCATCACCATCATGAGAAAAATTCTGTTGCATCCAAGCAAACGTGACAACACAAGTGTGGAACACAGAGCGTGCAAATGTTGCGCTTCCTTCAATCTCAGTTTCAGTCTTGTCACACAAAAGTACAACAAACACCATCAGGAAGTTTAAATGATCTGTTTTGTTTACACTTACATGCATGCGATTTTCTTTTAATGAAGAGACAATTTCCTTGCAAGTACTAAGCTCTAAATTAAACAGTGGGGTTTCTGTGTTCCACTGTGTTGAGCGTCTTCATCTTCTTCGTTGGTGTAGGCTGCTGCAAACATTGACGACAGAAAGTGAGCGGATCATGTTGGAGTTGGAGCTGACCGATGCTGAACAGCTTTTATTTTTAATGAAATTACTAAAACGCAGAGAAGGCGTCAGAGGACGATCCTTGAACTGGTTGAGGCAGAAGAAGAAGGACAAGCAGGAAATGTGCAGGAGGAAATACAGTATAAATTGGCCTTTAGTTTAATTAAAATGCTTTCCCCGCCAAGCTGTCAGACTCTTTAAGCTCAAATTCATCCTCAGCACTGCTCCACTGAATACAGTTTATTTCTGCTTACCATTTTTATAATTGCTTCTATATTAATGTATATTGTCTGCTAACAGAAGGGAGTTACAAGCTCAATTTCACACTATGAAACATGTTGGATTGTGATAAAATAAATCTACCTACTTAGCTAATTAGGTGTCTGGTACCTACAGTATCTCACAAAAGTGTCCAATTTGGACATTTTCATTTTTGTTGCCAGTGGTTTAGACGTTATTTTGAGGGGACAACAAATTTACACTGTTATACAAGCTGCACACTCACTACTTTACATTGTAGAAAGGTTCTTCATGAAAAGATATAATCACATATTTACAAAACTGTGAGGGGTGTACTCCTGTAGAGATACTGTACCAAATGTAATTATGGCCAGAAATGATAAAAAGAACAATTGTTTTTACTTTGCACACACATTATGTATACATAATATATAATATTTTGTGTTTTGTTTATTTTACATATGTTATTGTATCTTGGGTATTTTATTCTCTTTCATTCTCGAGTATATAAAGATTTTACTTGAGACATAACATACGGTGTATTGTATATATTTCTGACCATGTGGTGGGTACGCCTTTAATACATACAGCAGCTTTTATAGACTCTGTGCCAAAGTTCTTTACGTGGGAAAAACTAAATTCATCATCCCCTTTTTTTGAACGACTAAACCCATATTATTTTAGTTATTATTATTGTTGTCACCGTTATAACTGAATACCATCCCAGCCTCCACTTGCTGCTCTTTTGCTCTGATCTCTTACCACCAAGTACAGAGAATGAGTTTGATACAATTAAATAAACAAATAAAACACGAGGATGACGTGAATAAAATGCTTTGAGAAAAGGTTATGATTTAAGAAAATCCATCAGTTACTTGTTCTCTTTTCCAGATAATAATAACTGTACTGCACAACACTGAGAGTGCAAGTCATAAATGTAACACTCACCGTGTAGCATTAATATTAAACAAACTTTCCTTCTGGTTCTGAAAATGTTAATGCCTTCAGCTGCAACAAAATAATTTTGAATTCAGTCAGATTGGCTTAAATATTAACTTTTGAACAGCAGTTTGGAATAAAAGTGACCGCTCTGACAGCTGGTGCAACAACCTGCACATCGATGTGCATCGTAGTTTATTATCATTGTTGGTGCAAGACAAACTTCCTGAATTGTCTTTGAACACAAAACCTGAGCACGAGTCTGGGAGATTTAGAAACCTTTATGAAATCCTTTATCTGAAAACTTCCTGAGGTCACCGCCGTTCATCTGGGTCGCTGGTTATTTCCCTTTCATTGCTATCTGGGTGTTCCACTTGAGATTGCCTATTCGTCATTACGAACCACATGTTGCAGCAGGTCATGACTGAATCTGTTTGTATGATGCGGAGGTGACGTAACACCTGATTTGATGAGTTTGTGGAACCAATAAAAAAGAATTGGTGCAAAAAAAAAAAAAAAAAAGACACCACAGTTTTATCAGAATATGCTGCCACAGACGGGAAACTGGTAAATATGAGCAATGTCTTTCAGATTGAGTGGGTTTATTAGAAGGGAAACGTTCATGTGAAGCATTTTTATTCTGATTATTTGACATAAAAATCTCAGTGTAAATAGAGTAAAAATCTGTCTTTTTGTTGTCGTTTATTATCAGCTGATGACCGTTGAAGGATGACCTGCAGCTCAATTTTAGCTGTGAAGGCTTTCATCATTATCTTATTACCTATAATCTGTCTCCGAGGGACTCACGCCCACGTCCAACACAATAAAATTGAATGGATAAAGGACCCGGCCACTCGATCCTTCACTTTATACCCACAAAAAAAACCTTCCTAGCAGGAAAACTTTTGACAGGGAAATACTTATGTTAAAAAGCTGGGAGATTGAGGGGAAACTGGGCGTTACTGCATTGGCATCAACATCAGAGTTTATTACTTTATTATGGCCTCACAGGAGCACTCTGTTACATAATTATCCTGTATTTGCTTATTTTAGTCTAAAATTAACTGCTTGATTGAATCATGATGTTCTTAAAATGTCTTCCTCTAGGTCATGCACAAGCATTTTTAATTATCTTTAACTGGCTATAATACATAAATTTACCTGACTCTGCAGCTTCTTGGCTTTACAGAGATTTTTAGTGAGTTTCAACTCATTGTTGTATCTGTCCAGCTGCAGCTTTCCTGTTCTGGTTCGCTCTCAGCTCTCTAATGGGGTCGTTTTCAGAGAAATAGCTTTAAAAATCCACCTGCTCGGCAGCAAACGGCAGACAGACACAGTTAAGAGAGCAGCTGGTGAACATGGTGGAGCATTTAGCAGCTGAAGAGCCTCAGGAGCTGGTGGAGGCCAGAAACAGAGCTAACAGAGAGAGAATACTGAACTCACATTTGTCAAGTGACACAAACACAACTTCAGATAAAACTTAATGTTGTTTTGTGTCCGCTGGACGTGTAGAAAGTCTCATGATATGTCAGTATTACAAAAATAAATATAAGCTGCTACTACTTTAGGTATATGTATAAATACTAAGTATAGTCTGCCTATAATCTTAATTGTATTTGGACAAAGAAATGATAATTAACTAACTATATGTTTCTTTAATCAATGTGTATTCCCAGTTTAAGTTGAAGAAAAGATCCCCAACATACAGTAACTACTATTTCGTGACATTCAAAGATATTATTAGCCATACTTCCACTGTGCCTGTAGTGGTTGGTCCTCCACTTTCGTCCAGACGGAAAAATCTCAACAACTGTTGGATGGATAATGACATTTTGTTTAGAGATTCATAGCTTGTCCAATGTGCAAAACTGATCACATTCTCATCAGCCTCAGCTGTACTTTGTGTTTAGTGCCCATTAGCATACATTAGCAAGCTAACATGTTAAATTTACATGCTAAAATTGGTAAATATTATACTTGCTAAACATCAAATAAAACTAAAAATAGTCATAACTGAAATAATTTATCTAAAATATATACATTAACTTTGGATTTCTGGAGAGACAGTAGGCTTTTTTCCCTCCCAGGCTTTTCACTGGATTCAATGCTCAGCTTTAGTGTGCAAAAGTCCAGTAATGTTTTTCATAAATGCACAACTTGTTGTTGATAATCTGGGGCTCATAAAAGCTACTTTTACAGAGCACCTGTAAGCTCACCTGGTAGAGCGCACACGCCATGTACAACGCCAAGTCCTTACCACAGCGTCACGGGTTGATCCCAGCCGCTGCATATCATCCCCCCTCTCTCTCTCTCCCACCTTTTCTGTCTCTCTCTTCAGCTGTTCCTATCAAACAAAGGCAAAACCCCCCAAAAATTATCTTTTAAAAAATCACATTTGGACACTTGGTTGTAGTGCTATGCTGTAAATATGCAACGTTGGTTAGACTTTCAAAATAAAAGTAGTGATCTGTGTAGATTCTCAGTGATCCAGGTCATAGTTATCCAAGGAAGGTTAAAGTCAAAAGCAACTGGACTTGGTTGAAGAACTGAAGTTCTGCAGAACTAAAGAAGTCTGTCGGACGAGGGACGAAACGTCTTCAAGTATCTTCAACCAGTTGCTATTGACTTTAACCTTCCTTGGAGGGATTAAAGTTGTGAAAGCTCACCATTTGGTTAGGTTTAGGCAAAGATCATGGTTTGGGTTAAAATAGCTTTGTTACTTACATAAGTTAAGTCACGATACTCAAGTAACTTAAAGCAATCAGTGTTAAGTTTTTGTTTCACACGGGAGACAAACACCACTCTCCTGGATGAAAGTCTGGTTTCAGCCCAACCCCCTCCCTACTCGGACTTTACCAAGAGCATCCCCCCTGTGCACTGATCCATGGTGCTAAATGACTTGCACAAGCGCAGGTGTTTGATGCCCTGGGAATGAGAACGTGCTGAAATGATGCACTCTGTGTTTGCTTTAGTCATTGCATAATTAAACAATACAGCATTGCGAAATTGTTTCCTATTTTCTGCAGAACCTCACACACTGCATCAGAGTAGCTTTTATTCATTGTAAATGGCCTGCAATAGTAATGACATCACTCTGTGTTAAGTAATAAGTGATGTGTAATATTACAAAAATAAACATGTGCCACTGTCACAAACAGGTTGGACAAGTTGATTGTATTTGTCAGAAGTTTATGTAAGAACCTCCAGCATCTTATTCACAAGGGATTACACACACACACACACACACACACACTAACAATGATCGATGATCCTCGAAGTTGGTCGGCACACCTTGACTGAAACTTAATTTCATCTTTGTGGAAATGACAGTAAGCTCAGCACTGACCTGTGTGTGGCTGTGTGTGAGTGTTTGTGTCGTCTTCTGGGGTTTTTTGATGTTAACCTGTCCTACATTCTCTGCAGAGGGGGCGGAGGTTTGCTCTGTATAAAGAGACAGGGCACAGAGACATCTTCACAACAGCATCGACTGCCAGGTGAGCACGCAGACAGATGCGGTGGATCAATATAATGGTTTAATGATTTATTACAGAAGATTAATTTACAGCTTTGCTATAATCTGTTTCTGTCTTGCAGGTGTAAAACACTCTGACTCTCACCCTCATTCTGAAAGGAATAAGATAATTTATCAAGCTTAAAAAATGAAGCTCGTCGCCGCAGAAGTCGTCTCCTTCCTCCGTCCAGCCATGCTGGTTCTCCTGCCGCTGCTTCTGATTGGCTGGGTCGGGCAGGCAGCGACGCTCCCTGTCGACCGGCCGCTCAGCCAGCCGCTACGAAACCCGGAGACGTACGAGGCTGTCCGGGACGTGTCAAAACACGTGAGTGGTCAATTTTAACAAGTATTTTTAACTTTAAATGTTTCTGCAAGTCTGGGGAATCAGACATTCTGAATTTAATGTCAGAATTAAAATATTTATTAGAAATATTAATGGTGAAGCTACTTTCAACTACTTTATAAGCAGTTTGGGAGTTTATTCTTCATATTTAATAAACTAAAGCTGTCATATAAAGGTAGTCGATGAAAAAGTACAATATTTGTATCCAAATTATGATGGAGGCATAACACTTAAACACTTGAGGAAAGTGCATGTACCTCAAAATTGTGCTCAAGCACAGTACTTGAGAACATTATCTTCCCAGAATTCCCACTTGAATGTAGGCACTAATGTTATTAATTTGAAATTTGAATTTGAACTAGAATTGTGTTATTTGGCACTAATGTTCTTCCATACGTGGAGGCTGTGCTTCATGTCTTCTCTAAAGTACGTCCCATCGGGCGTTTAGCTAGAGGTCATGTCCTTGCACCTAATTATTAAACGCTACAGTAAAAAAATGGTGGATATATATTACAGGTTAATTATTATTAGTATTTTTTAGCCTGGTATTTCCATTTAGCCTTCTGAAACATAAATATATGAAGGATTCAGTATTTCATCAACAGATTTGTATCCATGGCAGAATGGAGAACATGTTTAAACATGTTTAAATTAACAAAATAAAAGAAGATATCATCCATTTAAATAATTAAAGTATTTTAGAGGTTCAGTTCCCACTGTGTGATGTCCACCATTGTGTCCCTGAGTAAGACACTTAATCCCTAGTTGCTCCTAAATGACGATGATGATTTGATGTGTGTTTCAGTGGAGACTCTTGACTGCATTTGGTTAATGTGTGATGCTAATCTGGTTTTCTGTCTCTTCAGGCTCAGCGTGTGCAGACGGAGGACGATTCCAGCACCAGACTGTTGCCCAGAGTCAACACTGACCAGGTGAGAATAATTCAAAACAACGCTCCTGTAATTTTACACAATGCTCCTTACAAAAAGACAAATGAATCAGTGCAACATTCGAGTAACGCTCTACCTCTGACCTCTCCACCGCCTCCAGGACCATCTGAAGATCTGCTGCCTGCACGCCAACATCCTCAACTACTACCTGAACAACATCCTGCCTCACCGTGACAACCAGCATCCCAAGATGCACCAGCTGAAGAACGACCTCACCCGCGTCAGCGAGGACCTGCAGACTCAAGGCTGTGTGAGTGTCAGAGCGGGAGACGTGTGTTGATGCAAATCGCCCTCACATCTGCAAACATGAAGCAACAGGCAGCAGCCGGTTAGCGTAGCTTAGCATAACACACAGTTAGCCTGGCTCTGTCCAAAGTTCAAGCTACCAGCGCCTTCAAAGCTCACTCACAAGTTGTATCTTATGGTTTTACAATGTGTTTAGAGGTTTTGGCAGGAACTATTTTGGGAAATACATCTTTTCTTGCTGAGAGTTGGATGAGAAGATCGATACCACTCTCACGTCTTTAGGTTAATTATGAACGTGAGCTTAGCTTAGCATAAAGGTTGTCAACAGTGGGAACCAACTTTAACCTTCTTTTGAAACACGTTGTTGTTTGTACACTTTAATTTGTCCTCCGAGGCTCACTGTTTCCAGGCTTTATGCTAAGCTAATCTACCCATCTTCATGTTTACCACACAGACATCTTCTCATCTAAACTCACAGACAGACAGTACAGAAGCATGTTTGACAGACAAAATGTGTTACGTTGGAGAGTGTACTGTAGACGTGTGGTGGCGGTGTGGTTGATACTAAAATTGATAACGACTTTCAGTGGTTTACATAAACAGCTCAAATGCACAGACAAGATTGAACTGATGATAGCTGCTAACCTCCGGTACCTGTCTGTCTCTGCAGAATGTGACTCACTACCATGACCATCATCACGCTGTGGAGTTTCGCAGGAAGCTCGCCACGGTAAGATTTGACAGCCTAACTCCTGAGAGACGCCTGATTGAAAACACATTGACAACGGCCCAAACATACAATGCTGCTTCATGGTGTCTTTACTGTGTTTTATTCTGAAATTTGGTCTTCAAAATAAATGTCTTTTAAAAAAAATAGAGTTTGGTACACAAGCACAGAGGTTTCTCGGCTTTAGGGCTCACTATATAAATAAGTACTAAATAAAGACACGTTATTAAACTACGCTTCATATTTAAAAATCTCCAGATAATAAGCTTTAAGAGTGAATATGAGCACCATCTGTTAGCTCCAGATAACAAGATAATTAAAGGATAAGTCTGCCGTTTTCAGAAAGCCTAAACATTTAATCAATAAGTTGATTGACAGAAAGTTATTTGACACATATTGATCATTTAGGTCACTTTTAATCCCAGAATTAAAAGTGTCAGAAATCTGGCTTTAAATCTCAAAATCTCAAATGTAATCTTGGCACTAATCTTATTCGGTAATGAAAAGCATTTACCATATATACACATTAATATCACCAGATTTAACCTTCAAATTGCCTTTGTGTGATTCTAATGTGTCTTTATTTGTTTCAGATGGGGGGCGAGCGAGGTATAAACAAAGCTGTGGGAGAGATCGACATCCTGTTCACTTACCTGCAGGACTTCTGCCTCCAGCTGAAAAACTCCACCGCCACCCTCGCCGCCGCACACTGACGCCTTGACTGAAGCAAACTGCCGCTTTATATTTCTATTTATCACCTTTTATATCACCAAGTTTTTATACCTTTTAGTATTCTTATTTATTATTCTATTTAATTTGAGAACATATTTAACATTTTTAAAAAAATATATAAATGTACAATATTTATGTGACTTGATTAGTTATTGATCTGTTTATGGATCAAAATGTTTTAATACCTGAGCTGAAAGGACTCTGGTGTTGATCACGTTGCCATGTTATGGCTAATTATTACGGAGGATGTTATAGTCTTTAAAAGTTTAATGTTACACACGATGTGAAAAATCTTTTTTTACTTGAATATAAATAAAGTTTGGTTTGATTATGAACGCTGGCTCGTCTCTCTCTCTCTGCTGGTGTTGTAAGTCTGGAGTTAAAGGAACAGTTCTCTGCTTTTCAATGCTGGACTCACTTTAATATTTAACAATGACAAAGTAAAAGTAACATTGAAGACACAACAGATCCAAATCTGCAGCTGGCTACTGGTCTATAAAAGAAAGCAGATGTGTAGGGATGGATGATTTTTATTGATATCGATACCCTTATCGAGACTGCTTAACGATCCGATTCTTTATCGATACTTTACTATTATTTGGTGACGGTTATTTGGTAAGACCAGCCCCAACGGGCATGAGGTAGGCCTGCACGGTGTGAGGAACATATTCAATGTGCGATGACATTGCTAAATATTGAGATGATGTATCATGACGTGCAAAAGATGTATCGGATTAGAATTTAATATTTTAAATACAACTAAAACTAGAGCAGCAACATTAATGTTTACTACAGCAACGTCTAGTGTTGGAGTCAAGACCAAGACCAGAGTTTATCGAGACCGAGTCAAGACCAAGACCAGAGTTTATAGAGACCGAGTCAAGACCAAGACCAGAGTTTATCGAGACCAAGTCAAGACCAAGACCAGAGTTTATCGAGACCAAGACAAGACCAAGACTTTTAGGCACTGAGAGCAGTCGAGATCAAGACCGAGGGAAGGCGAGACCGAGTCAAGACCAAGACCAGAGTTTATCGAGACCAAGTCAAGACCAAGACCAGAGTTTATCGAGACCAAGTCAAGACCAAGACCAGAGTTTATCGAGACCAAGACAAGACCAAGACTTTTAGGCACTGAGAGCAGTCGAGACCAAGACCGAGGGAAGGCGAGACCGAGTCAAGACCAAGACCAAAGTTTATCGAGACCAAGACAAGACCAAGACTTTTAGGCACTGAGAGCAGTCGAGACCAAGACCGAGGGAAGGCGAGACCGAGTCAAGACCAAGACCAGAGTTTATCGAGACCGAGTCAAGACCAAGACCAGAGTTTATCGAGACCAAGTCAAGACCAAGACCAGAGTTTATCGAGACTAAGACAAGACCAAGACTTTTAGGCACTGAGAGCAGTCGAGATCAAGACCGAGGGAAAGCGAGACCGAGTCAAGACCAAGACCAGTTCCCTGCATTGCATGGCACGCAATAAAAAAAGTAGAAAGGCCGTCGAGTCCAAGACCATCAAAAAGTGGTCTTAAGACCAAGACCGGTCTCGAACACTACAACACTAACAACGTCACAATGTAAACTCAATATGTGACATCACAATACTGAGTGACTCTCATAAAAGTTTTCTTTTCAGATTTGATGCTCGAGACACAACGTTACATTATGTCTATGAAGATTCTCAGTCATCCAGGTCATAGTTATCCAACTGGACTTGGTTGAAGCTACTGGAAGACGTTTCGTCCCTTATCCAAAGGACTTCTTCAGTTCTGAAGAAGTCCTTTGGATAAGGGACTGCAGAATGAACTGCAGAATGAAGAGTTCCTTTATGTTCTGAGAAAATCCTCCTCCTTCAGCTAAATACACTCCTTGGATCAGCTGGAAAATGCATCGTCACAAAGCCATGATGCATTGCTACAGATTAAACTACCCAACAGTATATAAAGGAGTTGAAATGAGCTCAACCTTAAACATCTACAGCAGTAAAATACAACATCCACATTAATGCAGCAGGAATATTAATCCAGAGACACCAGATATAAAAGAGAAATATTTCACTGCAACATGAGTACTTTTACTTTGAGTACATTTCAAAATGTACTACTTATACTTACATACTTTTACTTGTACGGTTTTGGATGCAGGCGTTTTTCGCTGTACTTTATTATACTACATCTCTAACTGCCACCTACTGCAGTTTGACTATGGATAAGTCCCTTAAACAACCTCCAGTCCAACAAATCAAAACGAAACCCACCTACAGAGCTCTGATTGGCTCTGGTTATTTTTCCAACTGCAGGAAAGAGCGGTCAAACTACGCAACAGGCGACCTTTTGGAATTGAAAAATCAGTGGGCGGCAGCAATCAGCAGGCCACATTATTCAGGGCTTCACTTAGCTAGCATGACCTGTATCAGCTCTACGGTACGAGAGTAGGAAAAAAACCCACCTTAACGTGATATTAATTAACCCTGACGTTCATACATCCTTGTTTTGTGTTATCTTCCACTGCCGCCGTCTGCGCTCATCGTACATTTGTTTAATGAGTCCTTAAAATGTTCCACCGTCACTTTGCAATTCAATTTTCATTATCACCTTTTATTTCTTTGTGGTTGTTTCTTTCAACGCCTCCTCTCAAACGCTGCAGAGTAAAGTGCAACACTCGCCGGCCAGCTAACGTAGTGTTCACCTGCCATACAGACATGAGAAGAAGTGTTACTAAAACGGTGAAGCTAAGAAATAGGACAGCGGTGAATGAAGATGCTGCCAGCGTGCACCCTAACATAGATAGCATCAGGACTGGGTGTTTTGAAGTGAGTCATAAGCCACCAGCGTGTGTTGCCCTTTAAGGTCACTCAGGATTTGTGCTCTGAGCGCTCTGGACTGTTAGCCCGGGGCTATTGTCACGACAGATGACAGTTTAAAAAGCCTGCACACCAATGGTAGGTCTAATCTATCTATCTATCTATCTATCTATCTATCTATCTATCTACCTAATCTAATAAACTTACCAGATAAATATAACAGATAATAAAATAAAATGGGATACTCATCACATATTGTTTATTGGAATCAACAGCGTGACAAACATACTTCTATTCTACTAAACTGAATATGACTACAACAAAAAAAACATATGTTTGCATTTCCAAACTTACTGTTAAGAAAATTAAGTCTTAGTTGTATAAATGGATTTTATTCTCAATTGAACAGAAAGGAAAAAAATCTCTAATCATTAAATCTTGATATTGAAAACCAATATCTCATGAAATCTAGTATCTATCGACAGAATCGATTTTATCAGATTAGATTAAATCTTATCTGATGACACACACAGTTATACAGTCATGCTTTCAGGGACACCACATTGACTTGCATTCATTCCCGGGAGCCCAACCTTTTATCTAAAACCCCATCAACCCACATCTTTACCCTAAAATTTAATGATTAAAGTTGTGGGGAACTTGCATTTTGTCCTCGTAAGAAAGGCGCATCCCTACAGTGTGGCTGTGCAAACAGATCTATGTCCCCACAACATTAGTAACACACACACACACACACACACACACGATTATATAATAAACTGGTGCAGAAATCTGCAGAAACCACAAGTAGATGAGATCTATTAACCTACTTTCAATTATGTAGGTTGGGTTTCAGCTCTTTCTCTCTCTGTGCGTATACAGAATGAGTGTGCATATATATATATGTATGTGTGTGTGTTGTTTGGGCAGTGGGGGGGGGTGGGGGTGGGGGGGGGGGTCGGGGGGTCCCCTCATCCCTGCGTGACCAAACAACTAGACTCAAAGATATAGAGTGTTTGCACATCAGTCACGAAAGGTTGTGTGTAAATCTTCTGTGTCTTCTATGCACATGCGCAACTTGTTAAAAATATTTCAGCTGTTGGGAGAATTCTGTGGCCGTGGCGCCGATTGATTTGGCGTTCAGGCTGCTGCTGTCCATGGTTTTGATCAAAGGCTGGTTCGTCCTGGCCCAAGGAAAATACTTTGCCACAGCATCACTACATTAAGCTGCTGCTTCTATGATGCTTTATTTTCAGCTGTAAGTTAAAAATACAGCATCTTGTTTTTAAATAACATGTTTAATAGCGGACTGACAGAAAAGGCTGTGCTGATGATGGTTAAGTCGTTTCCTCAAGTAAAAACTGCAAATTTAACTTGGTGACGGATTCTCCAGTTTCGTATCATGGTGTGAGTAACTTTTGGTTTTCAGATGTTAATCTAACTACATGAGCAGTGTGAATACATCCCTTTGGGACGGTGATGAGATGAGCTGTGCTCACAAACCTTCTCGTGTCCAAAGCTGGGAACTAAAAACCTCCTCACCTCCTCCCAAACGCAGGCCAGAAGACCAGAAGTGATTCAGTGTGACAGCAGCTCGTGAAAATAGGAGCTGCCATGAAATGTTGTGCCTCTGTGACTTTTGCTCCAGCACCATTATGAGAATCACAGAAAAGCCTCAACAGCTATTGAAAGGATTCATTTTATTCACTTTGGGGCCTCCCTGGTCAAATTTTGAATTTGTCCAACACTTTGGTTTCTGACCCATATGAGAATCTCTGGGTGTGAAAAGTAAAGCCACTGTGGAAGTGCCTTACAGCCAGCAGGGGGCGACTTCGCTGGTTGCAAAAAGAAGTCAGACTGCAGTGGACTTACTGACAGAATGAGCCAAATACTCATCTGGGTTTTTTTTTTACCACAGGGAATAAAAATGTTCTGAAAATACCTCGCACCAAAAAAGGTAACAAATGAAAATGCAATGAGAAAGGTTTATTTGCACAGTAAGAAAACATGCAATTTAAATATAGAAGAAACAAATGTGCATTGTCCAAAAGAAATAAGCTAAAAAACACAAAGAACAATTAGCTGATTACTGCGTTATATTCTGTTATATTTTTATATTTATGAATTGTCACCTGCCATCTGAATTTTTTGTTTCCCTCTATATAAATAGAGACATTTCCACAATAAATTGGAGCAGAAAATGTCTCCAGAATGCAGGAAATCAAGTGTTTAATGCTCCGATTGTCTGGAGGAGGAGGAGGAACCCCCGCTCATATATTTCAGCATTTCCTATTTCTTCACAGTTGTGTTAAAAATCTTCTCACCTTGTTCTCAAGTGCATCATCACACCCCTAATCTGAGCTCTTATGTCCCCACCACTTTGCAACACAAATTGACGCCCTTGAATGAAACACATGTTTGTAGTCCCCTCATGCAACACACACAGATTTTTTACAGATAATTAAATGTGTGTTTAAACATGGTAACGTTTAAAATAAATAAAACATACTATATACATAGTGCATTGTTTGAATTT